ACTTTTATAATAAATATACTAGCGACTCACCCATGCTCCGCTCGGGGTCGTTTACGTTTTAACTTTTAGTATAGATTTCTCAGAGATGAGATATTTTCCCGCAGTAATCTAATAATCATAGATTCGGTCTCTGTATCGATAATAATGACTGTTTCAATAAGATTTTCTAAAGAGATAGATTATATATATATATATATATATATATATATATATATATATATATATATATATATATAATTTAATAAGAATATAGATAAATTATCTCCTAAAGATAGCATTGGTCTCATAATTGTGTTAAATACGCGATATACGAAAAAACTGGTTCACGTCAATGATATTTTTATGTAAATATTTATTGTTCATTAGAAAAAACAAAGAAGATGTTTTTTACCAAAAGTTGACAAAGGTCTACCTATAGTTTTTTAAGTTGACATTGATTGAAAACATCAAATTAATTTATATACATATACAATATACTCGTACATCTAGATGTACTATGTCTACTAAGTTAAGCTCATGGATTGCTAAGTTGTCTCAATCTAAGACGAGATTCACGTCATTCTGTTTGTGTTCGTAGCTACACCAGTATCTACCACGGATATTGGAATACAATACTTTTTTAGATTTACACGAATATTTGATATTATAAATAAAACTATCTTTACAGATATTTTTTTGGATTTCATTTTTGGTTCAAGGGAGAGACTGACTGACTGTTGGTATATTTTCAGTTCAGTTCAGTTCAGTTTTCACTATCTTTATGTGAATTTCTTATAGGTAGATATATTATATCTATAGAAAGTAAAGGCAGAACATTGTAATCAAATCGTCAAAAAAATACTTTGAACGCTTACTAGGCTTTATTTAACACAGAAAATCACTGTAGGTAGAAAAGTTCAATGTTGCAAAACTTATCTCCCAAAATTTTGCCCAATCTATTCTTATTTTTTACATATTAATAAAAAGGCTTGTAAAAATTTAAGCAAAGCTATTTTATTCAATTATGATTATCCTCGTCCAGCCAGATTATATGTTTATTTATTTATTTATTTATTTGGAAGACAAACAGTATTATGTTACATATTATAAACAAAAGAAATAAAATAATTACATACTTCAATTAAGTCTTCACTGTTTACACATTCTTAAGGTAGGTATATGTTAGCTTATTAAAATTAAAAATTAAAGTATATAAAACATAACAAAAAAAAATATAAATGTAAATGTTATTCACTTTGAACATTTAGTGTAGATTAAAAATGCATGCAAATGTTTTTAATGGCGTCCTAAAAAGGGATGTGCCTGCTCACCTTATTTCCGGATAGCTGTTTCTAGAAGTTCAAAGAAACAGAAAATGGAAAAAAGTAGAAGGCTCGCTGACGTACAAATGATGATTAATTATATCTTCGTGGAATGAATCAATGATGAAAAAATTATCACAAAGATATACTATGGAATGGTAACTCAGGGCCGCCTTCAGCCATGCGGCGGCCCCCGGGCACATAACAATTTTTTGAAAGGTGATAAAATTTAAATGATAAAAAATTAAGTAAACTACAAAAATAAAAATAAAAATTGATAGCGTATGTACAAAAGTCAGCTAAAAAGATGGAAAAATTTGATGAAGGCACAATATTATTCAGAGTACAGTATACAGTGCAGTGTATTATAATTTAAAATTTGAGCTTCTGTCTTTTCCATGACGAAAATGTTGTATTTTCGGGGCCCTCGTGAAGCTAGAGGCCCTGGGTATGTGCCCCGTGTACCCTCATGGTAAAGACAGAACTCATGGTAAGAGGAAATAAGAAGAAAAACTTTCGAAGATTACATATTTATTATAATAGTTCAGGTAAAAAGTCTTAAGAATTACTCTCTTTGAGAGGTCTCAAAGGGTGCGTAGGAAATACAGACAACAAGACAAAAAAAGTAGCGAAAGATTTGGTAGAAAACATAACGCTTGACTGTATTAAGCTATAAACTATCTAACATGAAGTTTTGAATCTACATTGAATCCACATTGTAATCCTAATTTAACATTATAAAAGTCACTTTGACCATTACTCGTAGCTTTATTTGATACCCCTATAGTTGAAGTATCGTTTTGTTTAGGTACAGTTATTAAAACAAAGACAACTAATATCTTATGTTACCTACTTAATGAAAAACTTGCTTTGAAGGACATGAACCACTTCCATTTTTTTTTTGCCTTGGGGCCAAAAAGGCTAGTTACGCCACTGACATGGACGACGAATTTTTTCATTAATTATAAGATACATTTTTTGCTATTTATTTTTCTGAATCAGAAATACTTAATATTTCTTTTTTTTTCAAAAACTAAATTGAAGGAAAAAATGCCAAGATCGCTTTGGCATCGAAAAAAAATAAATTTTTAATATAAACCTACTACTGAAAACTGAGTGAAACGGGCTTAAATCGTGGGTCTCCAATTTATTATGATGAGTATTTCCAACATGATTACCACTTGTCTTGCGGTGAAGGAAAACATCGTGAGGAAACCTGCATATCTGAGAGAACTAAGTTTTCGAAAAACATGTGTTGTCCGCCAACCCGCACCTGGCCAGCGTGGTGGTCTATAGCCTGATCCCCCTCGTACTGAAGGGTGGCCCGCACCTAGCAGTGGGACGTTAAAAAGGTTCGAATACAATCTAAACCAATTTAAAAAAATAAAAATAATGTTTAAATACGCCTTTATTAACAAAAAAGCAAAGTTATGGAACTTGTCAATAATAATGTAATTTTTAATATATTTTTTGCACCGGTTGAACAAACAATATCAAAGGTTTATTTTTCTTTTTTGTTAGAGTTTTAATTAAAAATATGCATATGTATAAACTATAAAACCGTCGTTAATTTTTTGTACAATTTTTTTTAACCTAAAATGGATAAAAATTCTTGTTGCGCACTTTATACTAAGTAATAAATTTAATATATATTTTGATAACACTGTATTTTTTGTACAAACTCTAACATAAGTAAATTATGATCACTTTAAAAGTAAATTCAATTGCTGGTTATTGTTTTGATAATATTATTTAAGACGTAGAAGTTTAGTAGAACTTATCCAAAAAAAAAAAAATATGTAGATATGTCAAAAAAATAATTCTTTTGTTTTTAAATGTAAATTATTTATTTAAACGTAACAACACGTGTATGCGAATCGAAATATAGGTGGTATTATTATGAATTACATATCCAAATTAGCGACTCACCCTTGCTTTGCTCGGGTTCGTCCCTAGTTACGTTTTAACGTTTAGTATAGATTTCTCAGAGATGAGACAATTTCCCGCAGTAAAAAGTATCCTTTATGTTGACCCAGATAACTAACTATTATCATACCATAAAAATCTGTCCAGTGGATTTCTAGTGATGCGTTCCCAGACAGACAAATAGAAAGACAAAAATTGAAAAACCTATAAATTCGGCTTCTGTATCGATAATAATGACTATTCAATAAATTTGCCCAAAAAGTATGTAATTTACAGATTCGACTCAGTTAGAATTTTATTTTATGTATAGAAGATAATAATCCATTGTAATAAGTATGTTTTTATTTGACAGCCTTGTTGCTTAGTACCTTACCCTATTACACAAAACACTTGAATTGAGTGCCTCCTCTTAACAAAACTTAAGCAAACATAATTTCTAATGAAAACTAATCTAATACCTGAAATCTCAACGAGATAAAGATTATTAGGAATCCTTATACAAAATATAAGCGGCCTCATGCCTGCGTCCGTTTGTGTCGGAACGTGCTTTATAGGGAGTAGGCACTATTTACTTTCTTAGATTACGTAATTTATAAATATTTATTCGTAGGATTTACGCGAATGTGAAATTTTAAATAAAAATATATTTTTGAATTTTTTCGCGGATTTATTTTGATTATTGGTTCCCGACGTTTCGAATGCTTTACAGTAATATGGTTACTTGAGAGATTCTCCCGTCTCAAAAATCAAGATTTATATAGTAGTCAGACTTTTAGAAATTGTAAACAAATACAAAGGTCTGGTTTAAAACTATAGTTTTAAATAATGCACCGTTGTTTATAGGACAAATATTATAAGTGAAAAGCCATGGTTTGAAATAAGGCACCCTCGTTTTAAGGGGACTAATAAATGTCGGAATTCTGAGGTAACATAAATAATAATAATAAATCTTTATTTCAGGCAAAAACCCATAATTACACAAAAATGATGAAAACGAAAACACATATACAATTTATCTATTCTAAGAGATAGTAATACAAAATACTTAACCTATGTTAGCTTAAAAAGAGAAAAAAAAACAACTAGATTGCCCTACGTGATAAGGCCACACCACAAGCATAAGACCCATTTAGGTCCGCCTCGTGGCTATATGAACCCTATTCCATTGCCTCCAGAGAGGGCTGTCCATCTTGACCGCCAATGTGCCAAGGATGTTGGAGCTGCTCACTAACCTGCTTAAAATAAATAAAAAATAAAAATAAATAATAAATAAAAGAAATATATACAACCCAATTGAGAACCTCCTCCTTTTTCAAGTCAGTTAAAAATGAACCTGCCCAGTGTGGCAACAACGCTTTCTCCAACCATGAAAATAACGTGAATAAACAATCATAAAACACATTGAATTATGTAATAATATCGAAAAACCGATGTTGGCAGATTTGACTACCGTTACTTCAAAGTGCTTAAATAGTCCGGTAATACCGGTTTTTCGGTATTACCGAAAACAGGTGTCCATGCACTATATAGTATATTAGTTAACTTGCGGTTAAAACACATTAGGGCTATCTAATGCTATATTAACTCGATCGCGATGGAATCTATCGTCATTTCTTTATAGGTTTGTTTGAATATTGATTAAGATGCGGGTCGTTTTATTATGTGCTTTGATTTGTGCAACGTGGGACTCTATTTCAGGCAAGTATATTTTATGTACTATATATTATAAGAAATATTATTGGGTATTTTAAACCGCATCGTTGGTCTTGTGGTATGGCTGCAGATCCGAAGGTCCTGGGTTCGATGTATAATGCTATGGGTTGTTCTGTCAAAAGTCCGGAATTGGAAAATTAGCGAGGTGTCATTTCTGTACTTCGGGGAGCGGCGGTGCCTGATCTTGGGGAATTGTCATTATTATAATAATAAATGACATATTAGGCACAAGTATAAGTGATAATTTACACACTTATATCTTACGGTAATAGAGGTATAAGATTGGAGGATAATTGAAGGATGTGATCACATTTATGTGTTTTTGTAGGATATGGCCTATTTGTGTGCTAAGTGTCATCCAAACCGTGGGTACAATTCACAAATGATTGGAAAACTAATTTCACAAATTATGGCAATTATAATATCAGTAGGAATAGTAGAATATATCTGACTGGCGTCGTTTTTTTCTTTGTTGCGTTACACGTGTATGAATTATAAAATCCTGGCTTGTAGTGTGTAAGCCGGATAATTTATTCGATTTTACTTTTAAGAATTTCTCAGAGGCAACAAAGAATTGTGAAAAAAGGACAGACAGTTTTATAAATGTTTTAAATTAGTTTCATAACTAGCGACTAGCCATCGCTTCGCACGGGTTCGTCTCTAGATGATTCTTTAAAATAATATAACTTTTTTATTTATGAACCTATTGAAATAAAACAAATCTAAATGTTAAGTGAAGCTTAAGAAAATACATTAGTAAAAACCGCACCCAAATCGGTTAAGCCGTTTCTGAGATTAACGCGCACAAACGCAAAGAAAAGCAGTCAAAAATTCTAAAAATCATTGGGTTCTACTTCCATGTACAGACAGCAATCAGTTATACTTTTATTATATGCCAAGATATATTTATATGCCACAAAAACCTAAGCTTTGCGTGACACGACAAAGCAGATTCGCAGACAAAAACAATTAGTCAAAATTGATTCGGTGTACGTTTTTTGCGGTTTGTGGTTAAAACGATGAATTAACTATCAATTATTATGTGACGTGAGCTGGAAACTTTTATTGGAGCACTTTTCAATTTTTGATAGACATTTAAGTACAGCAGCAGATATTACTCGTAGTTGCGAAGGGGGAAATTTTAACAGTGGTAAGCCGTTTCAAAAATATACGTATTAATGCAGAAAGAAATAAAGCTATAATATATATATATCATGAACGAATTAACCACTGGACCAGACATATAAGCGGACGTACCTTTAACGGTCATGTCAGTAACCAGGGAATTTTAGCCTAGGTCGTTTGTTTTTTGTGTCAGTCTCAAGCACTTACTTGTCAACAAAACATCTCCCAAAAATGACTAAATGTTCTGTTAAATGGTGTAAAAACTATAACGGCGGAAGCAGCATTATTTCTTTTCACTTGTAAATACAGTACTTTATTACATTTATTGTTATTTATCACAAAATTTAATTAAATGTAAAATAAAATGTCATATTATCCAACTATGTTAAATATAGTCGATATTTCTATGTATTGTTGACATCTGACAACCATCATAAACGGGCTGGATTATACCATTCAGAACAAATGACAAAACTGTCGAGTGAGTCCATTTGAAATCGACTAGTGCTTGACAATGTCGAAAAATATATCGATATTTGACGAAATAACTGAACGAATTGTGTTATTTGTACAGTACAATAACATAAAATACTTTTATCACAGTATCCTACAATCTGATGACAATAAATTTATAAAAATATTTTCTAAATCAAATAAAAATATAAATGCAAAAATTATAATTAGTATGTGTACTTAATTTTTTATTTTATACCACATTTATATACTTTGGAATATTATTCCATTGTAATAATAATAAAGATCATTTTATTTCAACACATAAATTACACAAAATTAAACAATAATGTTTTAGCACTAAACTTCTGGGTTGGCGATTTGTAATAAAACACTTTACCACTTGCACTAATTATTTTACTTTCACATTTTGCAATCACTTTTTCTTTTTCCTAATTTTACAAATGTTTATTAATAACTGAGCAATATTAGGACAGTGTCACATTTTTATAACTACCCGAGACAATCAATTGCCAATTAAAATAGTTCAATAACAGAATCAACAAAATCACTTTATTTAATTAAATTAGCTTAATATTTTTTTAATCTTTACAAAATAATATTTATTATATATTAATGGAATATACACCCGATATTCATTTGTTTATTAACATTATTATAGGCCAACAGAATGTTGCCATCAATGCCATCGTATTTATATAAATCAAATTAAAAAATAATTATTATTTGACACATTATTATTGCCTCTTTAATTCATTTATTTTAATTATTATAATAAATACAGATATTTTAAATTAAAAGACGTAAAATATGATGACTATGCTAACCAATGTCTAAAATGTCATTCATTGGTTCATCGATATATGTATTTTATCGATTACGTTCAAACACTAGAAATATTGTATTGTGTATCAGTGTTTATAATAATGTAATAAAATCTTTGTGTGCGTTATGCGTCACTTGGTTGAACTAGTTTTCATACATTTGTATTTTATGTCAGGTCCAGTCTCTAATTCGTCCATGATATATATATATATATATATATATATATATATATATATATATATATATTCACATACCTTAAGTACAAAGATACGAGTATATTATCTGACAATAAGTTCATTTTACGATCGTTTAGAGTAAATAGATGTTGATTTTCGAGACACGTGTATTGTTTAACTATATTTAGACCTACAACACTATCGACCTTACATACCATGGAACTAGATGGTGCTGTGTGAACATATTTATATATATTTATTTATTTATAAACAACAGTTTCGGTAGGTATCAAAATATTTGATGGGTTTGTTTTATCATCCGTTTAAATTCATTGTCACGTAGCCATCCTTAGATTATTTTGTACAAAAACATGTAACATAGATAAATAAATATATATATATATATATAAAAATAAACAAAAACCTTTTACAGTAGTATACGAAGCATATCGCACAATAACATAATTACTCAGTCAATATTAACAAGACAATATAATTGCTTAAGAAAACTCCAGTCATTTAATTGCAAGTAAAACAAAATGTACATTTAAGTATTTTATAATATTTTCATGTACATATGCGCACAATCTGGAAATAAAATTATAGACTGTTTCTGTTAAAGATATTGCGTAACAAACCTGAATAAAAATTCAGCTGCATTTCGTCTCCTTTTTGCAGCAAAAACTATGTGTCAGACCTATGTATATCCGACCCTACATTACCTCCGAACTACTAAACGGCTGAACCGATTTTGCTGAATTATGCGTTGTTAGATATGTCTTGACAACGTATCATAAGGTATAGTATATTAAAACTAGAAAAAATAGCAAAATTTGAGCAACTTAAAATTTTTATCTTTCAAATCAATCGATTGGGATACCAAAATTAAAAGGCGATTACAAAAATATCTCCAACTTATATGATTAATAATAATTTCAATTAACAAATCGTTAAATAAAACTCAAATCGTTTAACTGGTGAAAACTACAAAGCTATTAATGAAAAAACATCAATTTTACAATAATTTATTTTTCTGGTAAAACAAATATTTTTATCTTTTGCCCACAGCTAACTTCATCCAGCCATGTCACGCACAAGATTCTACCTGCCTGAAGCTCTCTGCTCAAAATGCCCTTCCTGTGGTGGCGGCCGGGATCCCAAGCTTGGGGATGAACACATTGGATCCGATGGTAGTTGATCGAGTGGTCGCAAGTCAAGCAGGGTTGAACATGGATTTTAACAACACCATCGTGAAAGGATTGAGGCACTGCCACGTTTTAGAATTGAGGTAGAAATCTGATTACTTCTTTTTATTATTTTTCATGAAAAAACAAAAAAAAAACCTATTATATCCCACGGGAATCTTACATTTTTCCTGGATAAAAAGTTAGCCTACATATATGCTGTTCCAGACTATAATCTACAATCTCTGTGCCAAATTTTATCCAGATCCGTTCAGCCGTTTTAGAGTAATTAAATAACAAACATCCATCCATCCAAACTTTCGCATTTATATAGTAGTAAGATGTAGCACACCATAGACATGTTGTCTTTGCTTTTTTGAGCTTTTTTTGTTTTTTGTTTGTTAATGAAAGTAAAGAGTTACATTCTTGCATTCCGTTTAAGATTTTGAAGAAATTTAATTAAAATTTACTTTTACTATCGGCAATGGGGTTCCTTAGTTAATTGTTGGCCTTAATTTATCATTCAAAATATATTTATTATTGATTTATAAATATTAGATAATAATGTGTCGTTCAAATGGCTAATTTGTGTGGCTGTACGTCATGAACCCCTGAAGTCCATATCCCAAGTCAAATGATGATGTCTCCTGGCCGATTTCGGCCACGGCGGCCAATCTTATTGAGACTAGCCAACTGCGCAGGAGATATTATAGTGCTCAAGTGTACGCGCAGACACAAGTGCACTCTCTATTCCTGTCACTCTCATACTCCGGTGGGACGACTGCTCGACACGACCAGTGAGAGTTAAGGCACAGGACCGACGGCTTTACGTGCTCTCCGAGGCACGGGGGTGAAACACCGCCAACTTCCCAACTCCGGGCTGTTACTGAGACTTTCTATACAGAAAGACTCAATAACTAAACTTGGCGCGACCCGGGACTCGAACCCAGGACCTCCGAGTGTGCAGCCGTACATGCTAGCCACTACACCACCGAGTACAGTTAAGTCAAATATCTACCATGTGAACAGCATTTTAGTAGAATCGTTGTTGTTGCTAAAATGTAAAATTGTCGAATAAGAGAGCATATGACTTTGCCTAGACCGAGAAAGCTATTTTAAAATAAAAGAGTCCTTTTTTCGAAATCGAACTGACGACCTCTTAGAAAAATGCATTGGCGTCGAACAATCGTTTTTTAAGAAACATAATGGCTTATATGATTTATCCTCAGAAGTAGTTAAATAAAATAATTATTTAGCTATAATGAACTACTATGAATAAATTAAAAAAAAAATACTGGTTAGACGTAAATCGGAATCGCATACCGAGGGTTCCGTATAACCTAGTATAGCATTCATTATATGATCTGTTTTATAACCACACACACACAGAGTTCAGTAGGTACTTGACTATTTTCCCCCTAACATTTTTGAGATATACCTTAAGTGAAGTTTTGTAGAAACACAAAGAAAACTGGTTGAAGATGATAAGCGGATGTTTCATGTCAGTGTGATCGATTTAAGTGGCCGTGAATCCTATATAATAAATTATACCCTTAATCCAGCAGATTGTCATATTTTCTCACGTTATTATTTATGAACAATAAAATTTGTATTCTAAAAAACGCCTTCCCGTATAATATTATATAATTAGTCAAATTAATTTTTAATGTCATTATAGAATCCGGAAGTGGTAGACCAGTGGCAACGCGCACACTCGGGAAACCGAGTGATGCGGGTTTAAATCCGGATCTTGTACCTCTGATATTTTCACGTGTGAATCATTTCCAATATGAATACCACTTGTCTTACGGTGAAGGAAAACATCGTGAGGAAACCTGCATGTCTGAGAAAACCTAGCAAGTTTTCTAAAGACTTGCTCAGTCCGCCTGCGCTTGGCCAGCGTAGTGGATTATGGCCTGATCGCATTGAAAAGAGGCCCGTGTCAACAGTGGGACGTTAAAAATACAATAAAATCGGAAGCCTAATAAGAAGTCATAACAAGTATATAATCTATGCTAATAGACACATGAGGCTACAACTTCAAAAAAGATTAGACACTCGTTTGTAGTATGAGTGGGTGTGTTTTTTAAGTCGTTGTAACTTCTAAAATCCAACTAATATTATAAATGTGAAAGTATGTTTGTTTGTCTTTCTTTCACGTCGAAACGGCTTGGCGAATTGGCGTGATTTTTTGTTTGGAGATAGTTGGAGGGCTGGAGATTGACATAGGTTACTTTTTACCGCAAGAGATTATGTCATTCCCACGGAAAAACACGTTATAATACAATCCAAAAAATATTTATGATCAGAATTACTTGAAACTTGGTATAAATGCTTTTCAAATACAATTAATTAAATACGTGTTTAGCATTTTGCTAAATTCATTCCATAAGGGGGTAAAATAGCGGATGAAAGTTTGTATGCAACCTCTCATTTTAGAGGGTTTTTTGTAATTTTAGCGCGAGCGAAGTCGCGGGTTCTGCTAGTAAAAATAATTATGTCAATCACAATTCGAAAAACTAAATAAATATTTTTGGTGAAACAGACGTCTTATTATTTTTTTCAGGCGCATTGGAAGCAAGACCAGTCTAAGCCTGAAATGCTCTGTCGTTTTGGTCGGCGACTACAAACTGGACGGGGAACTCTTGATGGTACCCATTCAAGGAAAAGGAAAATATAAAATTCAAATACGTAAATAACTAGTGATTTTTTATTACTTATAATTTCTATCGTAGCCATAGTCGTTGATTGTAGCGAACGAAATCCATACATATAATAAAATTCTTAGTCGATTCTGTACATTAAATATTTTTTGGAAAGTCTTATTGAAATAGTCATTATTATCGATACAGAACCGAAGCCGTAGCAGTACAATATTATTTTTAGGGCTTTTCCAGAATTAGATATTTTCAAGGTTCTTTCAATAAAAGGCTTAAGTTATTAGAATATTACTTTTCCATATATACATAGACACCGTGATATACAGAGATAGATTATAGTTTGGAAGCTATTCCGCTAAATCCTAAATTGTGCTATAAGCTACATTTTATCACGGAAAAATGCTATTTGCTAAATGATAATTTGCTTTTATTTTTAATTTAGAGGCGAACTCGAGCGAACCGAGGGTGAGCCGATAGTGCAGTATAATTCTAAAATATGTGTGTATTATAGCTTTTCAAAAAGATTTTTGTGTATGTTTTGCGATATTTTCGCCAATTCAGAACCGATTTAAGCCTCTCTAAGTATAAAATAGTTATTATTTTCAAAATTATTGTACTACAGTAATAATTAACAAAATTAGGCAATTAAAAAAAATAAGAAAATGTTTTTTAGGTTTCTGTTTTTTATAGTTATTTAGAACAAACGTCATTCTTATATTCGTGGATGACCAACTATACACCTGGTAGGCATAATGTGAGTTGAATTTTCTAACTCTTTCTTAACATACACTTCCAGGCGATATAGTTGTGAAAGTAGAATTCAAAGTGGGTGAGCGTGAGTCGGCCGGCGAGCGTTACTGGACCGTGCCGAGCTGGACTCATACAGCTGACGTCTTGGGCGGTGTTGCTTTCAACTTCCAAAACCTTTTCAATGGGAGAAAAGATTATGGTAAATATATTTTATCATTATTCTCTTAGTAAAAGTAAATGTCTATCAGCCTGTTTGCTTGTTACTTTTTCACGCATCAATTGTTAAACCAAGTTAATTGAACTCCGGTATAAAGATAGATTGGTTCTCAAAGAAGGACTTACGAGCTATATAATATAATAAATTTATATTAACTACAAGGAATGCAAAAGAGGATGGAAATCTGTGTGAGAAACCAATCATTAAATTAGGGATATGAAAATTCCGGGATAAAAATTAGCCCATGTAAGTATTATTCTTATGAATGAGCTATATTATTCTAAAGATTCATTAAAATCCTTTCAGTAGTTTTTGCGTGAAAGAGTAACAAACATCCATACAACTATACATCCATACATTCATACAATCTCACAAACTTTCGTATTTATAATATTAGGAGGATTTTCTTTTTGATTACAATACAGAGTTATTTTATTGCCATAATAAAAATGTAAACAAAAATTTAACATTTCCAGCGGAACCGGTGTTACACTTCGCAAATACGCACTGGCACGACATCTTCCACGAGGTCGCACCTCCCATTGTGAAGGCGGTGGTGTCCCGCATCGTGGCGGAAACTACGAAGCTCTTCGACAAAGTGCCGATACGAGAACTAGCTTTAGAATGATCTCATTGAAATAAAATGTAAAAATATGTTTTTTTTTTAATTTTAGGGTTTATTATTCAGTTGAAAGTTATTTATCTAAATGGCAACCTGGCCGAAAAAAAAGTGAAAAAAATGAACGCACAACTGTAATATTTAATTCTTCTGAGTAAAAGTGTTCTTTGTTTATATTGTATGAATAACTTTTGCCTGATAATTAAATTCTAAATTCTATTTATAAAACATGTTAATTAGTAAAGATTATTTATCATATTCATATTATTTGAAATTTTGAATATTCTTACTACATATTTAATATTCAGTCTAAATATCATTATAAAAATATATAATAATTTCATTAAAAAGGTAATTTATTTTATAAGGATAAAATTTATATGGCAAATGGAAATTAATTGCGTAGAGCTGAAGATCGAGCTCAGAGGCATGTCATGGGAGAGGCCTATGTCCAATAGTGGGCTAAAGCAGGCTGATTACGATGACCTTTATAAAATCGTATAACTAAGAATACTATGCATTAGTGTAATTTGATAAATTTAATCTTTATAAAACATAGAAATTGAAATCGTTTGTACTTAATAATTACTTTAGAACATTAATTAACTATTATTATGAGAGTGTTCTTTGAAAACAACTAACCTATTATAATTTATATTGCATTTTAATAATATAATACCCATTTATGTATTTAAGTGCTTACAGATTATCTAATAATTTAATAATAATCTACAGTATGCTAGTGGTATTTTTTAATGATTAATAACAAGCTAAAACCTCACGAGTAGCTTCATATTGAAGAGACGTCCAACTTTTCTTTTTATTAACCGACTTCCAATTCCAAAAAGGAGGAAGTGCCAGCCTACAATATTTTAAGATATGAATATCTAATAGGTAAATATGTGTTTTACGTATAGAAATAATTATTTTAGATTTGCTTTGCATCGGCTGGCCCCGACTTCGAAAATATCTGATTAGGTATCTATTCTAAATGAAAACCTCCGGTTAGTTAGTTTTTACATTTTAGTGCCTGGAAGTCGGTTTTTATTTTTTGTTAAAAAGTTTTCATGAGAATTTGATATTGGTAGATACAATTATGGATTGATACGGAACATGTCGAGATGGCGAATGTTTTAAATTTATCTCTATAAGATTGTTTTACAATTTAATCTTGAGATATTCCAATATAAGCAAAAAAATATTGTGCTACATAAACTATGGTTTAGATCAAATCGCCCCCTCTCCGAACTTGTTAAAATAACGAAGTCGTAAAATTTATAAATAGATTTTCATAAAATTTATTATTAAAAATATTCATAATTGAATGTTCACATCGTTCTACAAATAAATTGTAGGATTTTTCGGTCCAACCTCGAATACTGTCTCTCGCACGGTGGTATATTATTTATTACAATTTACTAACTCTAAGACAAAGGTAGCACTTAAAGGTAAACGTACCTATTTCCAATAAGACACTCACTCACTCACCGATTATCAAAATTCCAAGGTACTTCCAGCAGACACACGAGTTTAAAATTTTGAATACAATTAGTTTTTAGCCTATAACGCAAGGAAAAATTAAAGATCCCGCAATTTCAGTCCCGTTTTCTAGACATACAAATTGCTTAGGAAGTTTGTAATCCTATATAAATAGATATGCGATGCGAATAAGTCACAGACGATGTCTCCTTTAATAATATACCTATACTATACTTACAAGTCAGTGTATCGTGGTGAAGGCAAGCGATGAGAACATTTTTCTGGGATAAAAAATAGTTTATTTATTATTCTGATGTATGAACTATGTTATTGTAAAGTTTCATTAAAATCCATTCAGTAGTTTTTGTGTACTAAGCTGTTATAAGATACTATAGATTTTTAACTATCCAACGGGAACTCTTTAATTTTCCGGGATGAAAAGTATTTAAAATGTTGACCGGGGTTAATAAGGTACCACCATGCAATATTTCACTTAAATTGTTATAACATTTTCGGAAATTAGCCGTCCAAACAGACGAACAAACAGAGAAACAAAAAATTTGAAAAAATCTGGATTTGTTCTATTTCTCTTCTTCCCCCTGACTCGGTTTTTAGCATTTTGTTTTCTATGTACAGACATTCGACCTCTACAATTTATTATATTGATAAAAAAAGTACCTAATACTTGATTGCCGTTGAACAGATTCTTAAAGTCCGAAGGTCGTTCCAATCAATACTTTGAAGTTGTGTTTAAATTTGGTATGTATTATTGTATAGATACATTATATTCATCAATCTCGTAGGTTAGATATTTTTGCGCTAGTTGAAATGGCCCTGAATTATGCAATATTTAAATTTCCGAACGTATATAATAGAAAACCATATAATAGAATATCGCAAGTAGGAAAAATGCAATCTTTAATTAAACTGTTATAAAATATTTCCTCAAAGCTTTTATTATTCAGAGTTAGGTCTCTGCTACAAGATACTATATGTAAATTAAAATAAGATTATTTAAAAATAAATATTTTTACGTATTAGTCGGAATAATATTAGGTCGAAAATTATCACGTTAATATATAAACACATCTAGGGCAGAATACTTTAAATTTATACGCGCGTATTTAGCCCAGTCATTTGGTGCTCAAAAAAGGAGGACTTGAAAATTTTTCCGGAAGTTTTGAAAATTGGTAATTTTATTGATTTCGTCGGGCTCTTTTTGAATTTTTACTTTGCCACCTCGTATCTTTGCCACTCGCGACGCCGTATTGGAAAAATGGCTCCAAAAAACAGTTTTTTGACAACTACTCATTTAACAATGAAATTAGTTATGTTATAAATGAAACAAGACAATATTTCATAGGAAATATATAGATATTATATATATTATATAAAATATATAGATATTATATATATTATATAAAATATATAGATATTATATAATTTTGTAAAATTGTTTTAGCGTACTAAATGACTGTAATAATTAGTGAGTCTATCTTTAAGGATAAATTGTATGACCAATTAATGCCGAATATACACTAAACATGACAATCTGATGTGAAAAGCATCGCAAATTGTACTATTGATCAGAATCCACTCAGCCTACATCTCAGTTTGAGCTATTATTAAGAATTTCTCATCAGATATCTTCTATCAACAATACTTGTTGATCGAAGTCAGATATACAAAAACCTGAATGAAGTGAAAAGTAAACTGAATTTTAATATGTCGGCATTCAATTCAATTCAAAAGCAAAAGTTTATTTTTTTTTATATATATATATATATATATATATATATATATATATATATATATATATATATATATTCCATTGGGCTACACTTCAGTAATAACTTCCTTTCTTCTAATAGGTTTTTAAGTGAAAACTGAGATACGAAAGTAGAATATCTAAAAAAACATTTTGGATATTCTATTTTCAATCATCAAAAGATGATTTGAGTTCATTACAATTTTTTTTATTATTATCTTGAAAAATAACAATTTTCGTGGACTTTTTGGAGGAATTAAAGGTTTTTTGTTTAATGATTGACATAAAATGTTGTCATTGTCAAAAGGGAGGTCAGAAAGCAAAAGTCAGAAATAAGACTTTGGTATCCGTATCATTATTATAATGGTTGAGTGACACGACATCTTAATTCTAGGAAGAATGCTAAAAGACTGACACTTTCTACTTCGATGAGAATGATAAGTCCAATTCCCAAATCCCAAGATCCTAACTGATTGTGTTTGAGCATAAGCCTGCTGTCTCTTAACAACAAGGTGAATCAATTAAATCTGTATAAAGCCTTAAATTATGTTTCCTCACGGTTGGAACTAAAACTGAGCTTGGGAAAAATCGTGGATAATAATGCAAACAAATCCTTTTTCCTTGACTATAAATTTTAAAATTAATACCTATATAATATTAAAATACCTATCTATTATGATATGTTAATAAAATAAACAAAATGTAACTTCGATATTTAAAAGAGCAACTGCTGAGTTTCTCGCCGGCTCTTCTCAGCAAAACTACTTTCCGAGCTGATGGTAGCTTCCTCACGGACAGAATACACTGACGCTTTTAAGTTTAAATTGACGATTTAAAAGTACTTAATATATATAAGACTAATTTAATAAATTTTAATTTTATTTCTATACTAATATTACAAAGAGGTAAAGTTTGTGAGTTTGTGACGTTTTAGAGGATAATCTCTGGATCTACTGAACGGATTTAGATGAAATTTGTTAAGAAGATAGTTTGAGATCTTGGAAAGGACATAGGATACTTTTTATCCCGGAAATCATCTCTTAAGGGGTTGAAAATGGGGATGAAGGTTTGTATGGGGAATCCAGCTAGGGTCGAACACGAGCAAAGCTAGGGTGAGTCGTTAGTCTTTTCATAAATGTATATATATATTAGCTTCTAAATAGCTAACAACTGTTAAAGGATAAAAATCAACATGAATAAAGTTGATGTTAAGCTTATCTTTTTTTTACTTGACCTTTTGAATGTTGTTAGAGGCTCTTAAATTTTCAGTAGAATAGAAATAAATCACTTTTCACTCTCACATATTCTTTTTATTTTACAATAGAAAGAGATTTATCTTTATATAAAACTAGCGGCTACAAACTAAACGTAGTTACGTACAACATATAATAAAATTTTATTCAGTTACAATTGTAACTGAGTCGAATCTGTACATTAAATATTTTTTGAAAAATCTTATGGAAATAGTCATTATTATCGACATAGAGGCCGAATCTGTACTTTTTAGAATTTTTGTCTGTCTGTCTGTTACCGCATCACGGGAAAACCATTGGAGAGATTTTGATGAAATTTGGTATGGTGATAGCTGGTTATCCGGGTCAACATATAGGATACTTTTCACCGTGGGAAAATGCCTCATTTCTGAGAAAAATACAAAAACTGCATTGTAAGAGTATAGTAATTTGTAAAAGCTAAGAATTTGGTTTTTGGTCATCTGAACGCGGGCGGAGCCGCGGGCAATGCTAGTGATATTATATAACCGTATGAAGTCTATGAAATGCAAATAAAATTCAAAATGAATAGAATGTGTGAAACCTTCCTAGATTTACTATATTAATATAAGTAAACAATGAATAAACTATCCATATCCATACTAATATTATAAATGTGAAAATGTGTTAGTTTGTTTGTCCTTCTTTCACGTCGAAACAGAGTGACGGATTGGTGTGCTTTTTTGAGTGGAGATAGTTGGAGGGCTGGAGAGTGACATAAGCTACTTTTTACCGCGGGAGATTATCTCATTTCCACGGAAAAATACGTTATAAGTTATAACACAACCCAAAAAAAATTATGATCAGAATTACTTAATACTTTGTCTTAATGCTCTTTAATATAATTAAATAAATACATGTTTTAGCATTTTTCAAAATTCATCCCTTAAGGGAGTAAAAAAGGGGATGACATGCGTATGAAACCTATCTTTTTAGTTTTTTTTGTAGTTTTAGCACGAGCGAAGCCGCTGATATTGGTGGTTTATAATAATTTTTAAAATAATAATTTGCTTATATGTTACCAATGACATACGCTCGCCTAGCTATTGTGCGCTCAGGGTGTGCTGCTGTTACCCAAGGGCGGACCCGAAGCAAGGATAAATCGCTCGTTTGAAAATAACAAGACATTTGAATATTTCATAGAGAAGTAAGCCGTGAAGAGGCGCTATACTATAATATTTCGATTTCTGACTTTATCATGTTATGTATTAGAAAATGATGTATACGATTTGTGTACTAAATAATAGGATAGTATCGAGTAAACGTTTACACGTTTGTTTGTTTAAGCATAATATTAAATCACGTCATTGTTTCTAGACAGGAGGAGACACAGAGAGGTATCAGTATGATTCTGTTCATTTAAAGTATGATTGATTAAAATAAAATTTTTGCACCATCACTACTTATAATGAATAACTAAATCAATAATTCTTTTGGCAAAATGCCGATTCGAAGACAGGATTATATCATTTACTAGCGGCTCACCCTCACTTCGCTCGGGTTCATCGCTAGGTACGTTTTAAATAGATATAAATAGTTATTAGCTAGCGTTAGCCATATATTTTTTTGTTAATAATATTGACAAATATTGACATTAATATTTATACGATACTAACATCACTCAATTGTTTTGCCTTCCCGGATCCTCTCCACTAACACTTAAGCTTTATGTTATGGTATTAAAGTTCAAATTGCCTTTAAGAATTATTACGAATCTTTAATATGGGAGTATAGAAAAGTGTTGTCTTTAGACTTTTTCAAGCAATTTTTTAATTTTTTCTCTCCGTAAGAACCATCCTCGTACTTCAAGGAATATTCTAAAAAAATAATTAGCGAAATCGGTTCAGCTGCTCTCGAAATTTGCCCTTACCAACACATTCAGCGATTCATTTTTATATTATAGATTCCCTTTATACAAGCTAGTTACTAAGTCAGTGTCTGGTTGTTATATAGTTATGGTCTGTATATTTATATACATAGAAAAGATGATTTAATAATAATATACCGAGGCATAGACAAATCAACGAACAGATAACGGACGAAGCAAAGAGCGGTACATAACAATAACTTGGTGTATCCCTAAAACTCTGATAAGCTTAAGAGATAGTAAGAGATTTTCAGGTCATTGAATTTTAACAATTTATTGTCAGTACATATAATTGTACACCTGAACACCTTGTTTTGCAACTGGATTGTGACAAAAATCTCTATGCAAGCAATTAATTAAGTGACTGCGTCACTGCGTCAGACCTTTCCAGGTTAATCAGAAAGGGACTAGTATCACGGTTTAAATATAAATAAATAAATATGCTGGTACATTAACACACAGCACCATCTAGTTCCATGGTAAGCTACGAGGCTTATGTTATAAATACCAGAATGTTGATACACTACACGCTTGTAGCTTACCATGGACTCAATGGTGCTGTGTGTTAATGTCCCAAAAATATTATTATTATATAAACTCCCATGATTGGAGTACAAGTATTCGTACTCATCACACAAATGAATACCCCCAGCGGAACTCGAACCCGCGAGCTCTGGCACAGTAAGTAGGGTCACTACAAACTGAGCCAAACGTGTCAGCAAAGTTTACACCTTTTGATGGAACTGAAACTCCAAATAAAGGCCATCTCAGACAAACATAGCATTACACATAATTTATTTATATTTTCCTTTTACATGTAACGCCGAATGCTAATACTGAAGAATTGCATGTTAGATGTGACGTCGCCAGTTTTCTTAGCACATATAAATATCCTCGTATCCTGTATTCTCACAGTCGTCCATTGGACTGCATTGTATTAGTAATAAATTATTAAGACAAAATGTTACGAATTTTTTCTCTGCTATGTTTAGTCATGGGATCTCAGTCCGCTTCGGGTAAGCTTTTTTAATTGTATTAACTTAATTTTTACTACTATATTGAATTCACGCTCTTTTTACATCCCACTGCTGGGCACGATCCTACTTAAATATAAGAGGATCAGGACATAGTCCACTATAATGTAATTATAGTTAACTGTTAAAATATTATACATAAATTTGTGATGTTTTTATACGTATCAAACAGATTTGCTTTGCTTTACATCGGCTGGCAGAGACTTTTAAATAATATCTGATTAGGTGTCTATAGTAAATGAAAACCTCCGTTCAGTTTTTAGTGCCTGGAAGTCGGTTTTTTTGTAAGATTTTATTGTTCCATTTTTAGTGTAGACGAAATAAGCATTAAAAAATCAGGCTCTAAAATCCAATTCTAAGGTATCGATTGGGCTTTAAATCAAACCAAAAAAACCCAAATTCAAACTATTTACTATGAGCCGTTGAAGAGTTCCACTATCCACTTTCTGGCCTCACTATCAGACCAACTCCAAGATTCAAAATTAATAGTATAGACTATTATCTGAATAGTATAGACTATTATCTGAATTACACACAGTTGTTAAATTGCAAGCCGATATAACAATTAGAAGTAAGTGAAAAAGTCGAATTAAATCTGCTTATATACTTGAAATTTCATGGTTTTCCTGATTTTCTCGAGAACGGTATACTCTATGTCAAATAAAAGAGAACGAAAGAACATAGTATCTTTTTATGGGATCACCTTGAGACCTATCTTAATATAATACCGTTTAAAGTAGCAAAACAAAAGTTGCAAAGCGCAAAACTAGGGCAAAAGTGACAAAGCAGTCAAGTCGTTTCGGAGAAATCGGTGAATATACATAAAAAAACACATACAGACGAACATAAAACCTCCTGCTTTTTGGAAGTCAGTTAAAAATAATATACGCCCTTAACAGTTAAGTTAGGGGTGATAATAAAGTAAAAATAAACATGTATTTAAAACTTGAAGTAAATAACGATAATCTAATACATGCAAAGACTTATTTTAGCAAAACAAATATTTGTTACCTATACATATAATAAAATTGTAACTAAGCGAATCTGTACATTAAATATTTTTTGGAAAATCTTATTGAAATAGACATTATTATCGATACAGAGGCATAATTTATGGTTTTCAGAATTTTTGTTTGTCTCTCTGTCTGTTATCGCATCACGGAAAAACCACTGGTGGGATTTTGATGGGTATGATGATAGCTGTTTATCCGTGTTAACATATAGGATACTTTTTACCGCGGGAAAATATCTAATTTCTGAGAAAAAGTACAAAAACTGCATTATAAGAGTATACTAATATGAATACCTAAGAATTTGGTTTTTGGTCATCTGAACGTGGGCGGAGCCGCGGGCAATGCTAGTTCAAAATAAATACTGGTACAGGTAGTTGTTATTCTTGTTTTCATTTTTTTCCTTAGCACGTACAAAAAAACTCCACGCTTTATTATATTGCATGTAGTTTGGCTCAACTTGTAGTGACCCTACTTGCTGTGCCAGCGGTCATTTGTGTGATGAACACGAATGTCTGTACTCCAGTCACGGGTATTTATGATATTAAGTATGGATGTATGTAAAGTTATATATGTGTAGTGTATCAACTATCTTCATCCATAACACAAGCCACGAAGCATGGAGCTAGATGGTGCTGTATGTTAATGTCCCAACATATTTATTTATTTTATCTGTTGTTACTCTACATAATAATTAAATTATGAATAAGTAATTAAATTGGTCAAAACAAAATTTATTGTGCAATCAAAATTTATTTTAAAATATATCTGAAAATAACAGTAATTATTCAAGTAATAGTATAAAAAATGTTTCAAAAGATAAAAAAAACGAAAGTGCATACTATAAGACTTCCGTGATACCATCCAGACAAAGAGAGACAATAGCATTTCCAAGGAGGGTTGACGTCAGGCAGGCGGCCGGTCGTAAAACTTTTGCCGAATCCTATCAGCAGTACAGAAGATGTACTGTGCCGACCTCAAGTGATTGGGAAATGGGCAGGGAGAAGAAGAATAAGTAATTAAATTATATTTAAGTGTTTTCCTATGAGTTCAAAATAACGCGCTATAGCCCAAACAGCTCTTTGGGCACTGTGGAAGCGAAAACAATACAAATCATAATTTGTACAGGATTAAGTTGCTATATTTAATATTTCTTATAATTGAGCTTGAGGTATAATCAAATAAAAAACCTAGAGACAAGATATGATCCTTCAATGTTAAAAAACTTGAAAAACTTGATAGCAGAGTGGACTGTGGAGCAACCCCGTGGTTGTTGTGGTCTGCTTCGGCAGACCTGCCGTCGGGGCGTCGTAGTTGAATGCGTAAGCGATCCTGCGACGCCCCATTAAGACGGGGGAAGGTTTTGTTGGGTTTTAGTGGGTAGTACTGGCTTTGCCGGTGAGTCCCACACGTCGTGCGTAAATGCATTTCCCAACTTAAAAAAAAAAAAAAAATGTTCAACTACACATCCGGGCGTCCTGGGTTTGAGTCCTGGGTATATTCCCCTATAGACCATTCTATTTTTGGGATAAAAATTAATTTCGGGATAATCTTAAATAATTTCAGGGATAATTCTAAAATAAATGAAATTCTATGCAATTATTAACACTGCACAATAATAATAATTTCACTAAATAAATTGTCCCGTATTTGGTTTGGCGATATATTTGGTGGATAAGATTGAAAATTAACATATAAAAGACTTATGCAACATCATCTATCTATACATATAATAAAGTTGTAACAAAGCCGCATAGGTACATTAAATATTTTTTGGAAAATCTTATTGAAATAGTAATTATTATCGATACAGAGGCCGAATCTATAGTTTTTAGAATTTTTGTCTGTCTGTCTGGCTATCTGGGAACGCTTCACGAGAAAACCAATGGACAGATTTTGATGAAATTTGGTATGATAATAGCTGATTATCCAGGATAATATATAAGGTACTGTTTACTGCGGGAAAATATCTCATATTTGAGAAATCTATACTAAACCTTAATACGTTACGAACCCGACCGGAGCGAGGGGGAGTCGCTAGTAAATCTATAAAATTATGTAGAATACCTATAAATTATTCCATAAATTCAAGAATTAAATAATTAATACGTGATTGTTATTTTTAGCGCCGTTTATCAAACCATGCAAACCCTCCGATGGTGCATGCATCCTGGCTTCATCCAGAGCCGCCATGCCAGACTTTACTAAGGGCTCACAGGATCTGGGTATAAAAAGTTTGGATCCGATGCACTTCAAAGAGATCAAAAGTGACCACGCCGGTCTGAAGCTTTTGCTTAAGGATTCTACGATTAAAGGTCTTAAAGATTGCGATCTTCAAACTAGCAAGTAAGTATTTTTGTAAACTATTTTAGAAGATATAATTTAAATGTGGTTTCTTATATTTGATGGTCACTATGTGACGTTTAAACATATATATTTTTTAATCAGTTAAACAATCGACATACATACTAATATTATAAATGTGAAAGTGTGTTTGTTTTGTTTGTTTATTTGTCCTTCTTTCACGTCGAAACGGAGTAACGGATTGGCGTGATTTTTTGTGTGTAGATAGCAGTTTGAGTACAAACAATTCGTACACTAAAAAAAAAAAGTAGAGATTTAACAAAACAACAACACTTGAATTATATTAGCAAAACATAGAAACATTAATATAAGATATGGAGTTAAATTATAAATCTATTAGAGGAAGTTCTTTCATAATTGGACCCAGTTATGCAAAAAACAGCCATGTGCGTAAAAGTACCAACAGAGTTATAAGCATTTTTCTGTCGATAGTTGCACTTGGGGTATGTTTTGTTTTTCTGGTTATTTTAAAATTGAACAATATTTATATAAGTATTGTTTATTTTTTATAATTATTTTATTTTTTATAATAAGATAGATGGCTCATAACTCTGTTGGTACTTTTACGCACATGGCTGTTGTTTGCATAACTGGGTCCAATTTTCCTTTGAAATTTTTCTAAAGTATAATCTATTAAGTCAATGTTGTTCAAGTGAACATTGTAATCATGACAAGCCCTATATTATATAAAATTATTGCGAGCAAATTTCTTCCTGGTGACAGGAATGCAAAGCAAATCGCTTCGACGAGTGTTAAAGCTGGACATCTGAATTGATATCTTAATATATATAATTATTATTAATTATTTTATATAAATCATTTGGTCTTTAGATATACGATGGCTTGCAAGAGAAGATACAGCAGGACAGCTTTGATGTAGAGAGAGGCACCTAAAGTTCAAATGCTTAATAAATTTATCTCTCGATTTCCTCAATGTAAATTTTACGATTGGGGTTCCAAATTATTGATCTATATTCCAGAATCGAACGAACCAAAGTATTATACAGCAAAAGCAGGGTAGAAATATTTCTAAAATCTAGATCTAACCATTAAGGTCACTGCCCAAAAAATTATATGTCCTTAAGAGCTGCATTTCTTGCAACAAGATGGACTCACCTAAGAACGGATTAGGACCTGCGTTCGAATCCGGCGTTACCCATAGACTAGACTATACAATAGACATACCTACACATAAAGTTATTTTACCCTGGAAGACCCTTTTCCATATGTTTCTCTCTTTCCTAGGTCAGTGTTCTCATAAAGCGAATCAAGATATGTCCTAGTCACCGTATAAATTCATATAAGAACTAGCTTATAGTAAATTTTTTTCGAAGGCAGTAAAAGGAAAATCAACTATATAATTGCTATAATTAATAGTACTTGTCAAGATAATGAAACAGCTATTATGGCGTTGAAAATATAATTATCTTATTTTAAAACGATTGTCCATTTTCTTATTGTATTTAATAATACATTATATGATTTATCTACGTGAACTCTCGTTGTGACGCAATGAAGACGTAATTCATAGGCATTGAGATCTGTGACAGAGTTGCTGGATTTGATTCCTGGGCTAAAAATACTTAAATATTCATCCAAATATATTTTCATAGAGAAAAATCTGAATTTATGTATTGCTTTCAGTACTAAATTTGTAATTTCGGTTTAGAAATATTTTTTAAATCGTTGAATTATAAGGCATAGTTAAAGGAGGTTCGAACATTTTTCTATAGAAGCCGGCATTAGTAACCATTTTTTTTTTGTAAAACAACAGTAAATAGATAGACTATATACAGTTTAACAATAATATAAGTAATATGGTGCCCTAAAGTGTCACATTTCCGAAATATTTTGTGTAGTAAAGTATTTTTTAATACAACTGAAGTTCCCCTTTCCTAGTCAGTTCCTGGCTTCAAAACAGAATCTCATTGAGTACATACTTATTCATACATATGTCAATAGAAATGTAAACATTGAACTAATGTAGAGTGTAAAATTGTTCATTTGTATACATTACAGACAGAAATAATATAAATATGATTAATGTGAATTGTGGGAACAGGCGTAGTTGCAGTTTTTTTTCTCCTATTCACATAGTCCAACCATGGCAACACACAATGTGTGTGAGTATGAGTATATCGGCACTTTTAAACTTCGGGTTGTTATTGAATTTCCGGATAGAAAATTGCAGCAACTTTGGACAGGTAGGGAATTGAACCCATGATCTTCGTGGCCACTAGATCAATGAAACAATTACATACAAATATATAACTACTTAAGTTAGCGCCTCATGTGATAATTGTTCCGAGAAGAATCATACGAGTAGGTACCTACGTCGTAAAGCAAATAATAGCTAAGCAAATATTGATAGTTTTGCGATCGACTTCCATGTGCAGTAAGTTTTTTTTGAAATGGATGGATTGTTTTCTTTTTTTGTTATAAAGCGAGTTTGTGTATATTTTTTAATTTTTTATACCGATACTGCTTGAAGTTGAAATTCGTAATTATATAACTTTTTCTGGGCTTTTTGCATGGAGATAATTTTGGAGGAGATCGTACGAGAGATGCTACTCGCAAAATTAGTATAGATAGAATTTTAGTTGATGCGTGCTGCACGAAAAAAGGTTACAATCGTTTTATATAAAATCATATAAAACAGAGGGCTCAAGATACTCCAAGTTCATACTCAAGTGATTGTAATTAATTTAATTTACACTATCGTTTATATAACAAAAATGAATCATATCATATACCTATACATAAATGAAATAACACTTCGCACTAAAGTAAAAAATGTAAATAAATTAAAAACCTTTACCTCCCTATAAATGAAATGAAATAAACTTTATTGAATTACACTTATTATAAGCAATTAAATTAAATCGTCAATATGATTTCAAGTGTCAGTGTGGTCAGTCCGTGAGGAAGCTACCACCGGATATGAAAGCAGTTCTGCTGAGAAAAGATGGCGAGAAACTCAGCAGTTGCTCTTTTAAATATCAAAGTTACATTTTATTTATTTTATTAACATAACAATATAGATATGAGTTATACACAAAAAATGCTTTGTTCTGACTGACTGACCGATCAACGCACAGCCTAAAGCTGGTCGTAGGAACGTGAAATTTGGAGGACATATTCCTTATATAAAAAACCACCGGACGAAGTAGAGGCTTTATCCCTTCTTCGTCAGGTGGTTTCCATATATAATTTGCCATTTCTATTCCATCTTAGGGATTGAATTTTATAAATTATATGATTACCTAAAACCACCTAAATATTAACCGGCTTGGTCTGGACATTGATAAATCGGTGACGACCAACAATTTTATTAAAACCAGCGCACTTCAGTCATTTCATATGTAGGTGCTTAAGTTTTAATTACAGTTTCCAACTACTTAAAATTATGTTTCAATCTTTACAGGCTCGATACAAGCAAAATGAAGCTGACGATACACTTAAAATGCAACACAGTAGTGACGGGAGACTACAAACTTGATGGCAAGCTTCTCGTCCTGCCCGTGCAAGGCGAGGGAAAATACTCTATAGATATACGTAAGTGTTAATCTGATGTTATATTAAAAAATATTGAAGGATCATGTCTCTAGTTAGTAGGTACGAGGTATATTGTTATCATCATACCTTTATATGTAATAGCAAAATATTAAGTTTACTATAATCGTATTAAAGATGTGTATCAACTTACAATGGAGAAGGTTCCCATTTTTTTTTAATTTAAAAAAATTTAAGCAAAATATAACAAAAACATGAAAGAATTATTATTAAAAAGTAATGAAACTTTAAAGTTGCGCTCATAGAATAATTTCGTGACACGACGTGAGCGACCGAAATTTAAATTAATTTCTCAATCATATATTGATAGACTAGCATTGCCCGCGGCTCTGCCCGCGTTCAGATGACCAAAAACCAAATTCTTAGATTTTACATATTCGTATATTCTTACAATGCAGTTTTTGTATTTTTCTCAGAAATGAGATATTTTCCCGCGGTAAAAAGTATCCTATTTGTTGACCTGGATAACCAGCTATCACCATACCAAATTTTATCGAAATCCCTCCAGTTGTTTTTCTGTAATGCGGTAACAGACAGACTGACAGACAGACAAAAATTCTAAAAACTATAGATTCGGCATCTGTATCAATAATAATGTTTATTTCAATAAGATTTCCCAAAAAATATTTAATGTACAGATTCGTTCCGAATTCCATTCCGTTAAATATGATATTATCAACATCAGAGAACTTCTCCATTGGTGAAGATCTCTTGTAAAATTCATAATAAACAAATATCCGATTCGAGTAGGTACCTCCCCCTTTTTGAAATGTTCTATTTGTTAGCCAAATTTCATTTCAATCGACAGATTGATAAAGTAAATCCGAAAAAATAGTTTAAGCTTCGCGCTCTGTGCTCCTTTAATCCCTCCACGACCGCGGACACGCCGGCGTTACAGTCAATTTACCTGGAGGTGTTAATAGAAACGTCTGGGATGAAATAATTTTAGACAAAAAGAGATAATTTTAAAATACACCAACAAAGTGAACAAATATGCCACTACAAAATAACTATCATAACTATCTACGACAAATGCGTCTATATCTTTATCCTTTTCCTTTCATCACATTTTAAATTTATAATATTTCACATTTTTATAGGTGACATCGTTATCAAAATAGTTGTGGATCTAGCTACTGTAACTGGTGCAGATGGCAAGCCGCATTGGCATATCACCAAATTTAAACACAACTTCAAAGTATTGACTGGAACGACCTTCGACTTCAAGAATCTGTTCAACGGCAATCAAGTATTAGGTACTTTTTTTTAATAAATAATATTATCACCTCAATTTTTAAATTATACTTAATTCCGGAATTTGGTATATTAAAGCTTCTATTCAAAATATGACATGTGATAAGGATAAAAATTTAAATTATTATATGAACAATAGTTGATAAGTAATTATTATCATTCACATAGCTAATAATCTTGGTTAATTGGCTTAAAGTGCCACTTAAACATACCTTGAACAGGAAACAGACTAACTCCCCTCGAATGTGCGTTCGTCTTGTCGTGGTGGGGAGGCTCATTAGCGTCCGGCAATCAAGCCGGGCGCGAAGCCAAGAAACACACTGGGAAGAAGCCCACCTCGGCGGGCGGTGTGTCATGCGGGATGGTCATGGTACTTCTCTGATAACAAAGTGGACAGTTGGGGCAACCCCATTGAGTGGTTGTTGTGGTCTGTTTCGACAGACCTGTCGTCGGGACGTTGTGGTTATATGTGTGCGTAAGCGATTCTGCGACGCGGTTTTAGTAGGTGAGACCCACATAACCACCTATATGTACGCAGATGGTATGCCTAAATGCATTTCCCAACGTTAAAGAAAACAGACTAGCTGAACTTTGTATAATGCTGATAATACTACAACTCAGCGATATTTTCATCAACCTACGGTATATAGTTGGATATAGGTACTTATAAAATAGAGTTAGGCTGATACTTACTATTTTTATTTATTTATAGCTCAACCAGTACTTGAATTCGCTAACACCAATTGGAAGGACGTAATGGATGAGATTTCACCGCCAGTAATTGAAATAACTGTCACAGAAGTTCTTAAATCAGTGGAAGCTTTGTTTAAAGCGGTACCCATCGAGAAACTTGTTTCTTAATCGAAAAGTCCTAAAATATTATTCAAAATTGGTGTTGTAAAATAAACGGTTTATTTTATTTGTTTTTTCATTGTTATTTCTTCGTGAAAAACATTATAGCTATAAATATTTTTTATGATAACCTTGTAAATTCAACCATGTAATTAAGTACATATATATACTTATATTATATTAAAAAACATAAAATATTTATTTTGTAATAGAAACTTGAAAATATCCTAATATGACTATAATGCTTAGACACACTTAAGACGTCATTTTGACAGTTGAACGCATGAGTAGACTCAACACTTAGGAGGTTAAACTAATTAAAAGAGATGAAAACTCCTTTAGAGAAACTCTTATATTAAATCAATGAGAGAAAAGCGATACCTATGTATTTTAATTTTTAAACGTCAAATATTTGTCACGCTCACTTTCAGGTGACGGCTCTACCTCTGATTGACGTAAATTGTCAAAAAATAGAAATGAAATGTCATTTGATTATAATTCAAAACATTGCCACATGTTCTCGTTTATTTAATGCTAGAATAATTTAATATTGTTTTTGTATATACCTATATCATGCTTTGTCCAGAAGTTTGGAATTTTCCACCACCAAAGGTAATAACAGTACAGAAGAAAGATGGTGATTTCGAAAGCGTATCAAAAATAGTGAACCTAAACAATTTTTATAGAAGTGCAATTATAGTGTGTCCTGATGAAATTAACACACCACAATTTATAGAAGACGCCTTACTCGAAGATAGTGATTTCTATGAAGTATTTAACTGTCCATTGGTAGAGTTTATAGATCCAATTTTTATACAAAATTTCATTAAATCTGGTAAACTGCATTTGTTATCTGATAGTAATTGTATTATAGAAAACTGTGCGGCAATTACGCCAGATGGAATCTTAACGTTACATGTTCTGTCACCTCTGTATCAAACTTTAGGCCTCGAAGGCATAAAGTGCCGAAATAATTATTATGAAATGAAGATTGATCTAAAAAAATTAAAAAACATTGATAGAGTAAAAAAAGCTTTAATAAAGATGAAAACTCTCAACTTTTTTGTATCTTGGGTACCAGATACAGAAGATGTTTGCCCTTCGTCAATAGCTAAGTACTTATGTGACAAGAGAATATTTGTTTCATGCCATAGTTTAGAAGTGCAAAGATTGAATCCAGAAATAAAGGAAATTCCCACATTAGCTGATTCAGAAATAGATGAAATGGTGGAATGGGTTGGAATGTTAGCTCTTGGTGCCGATTTGTCACCGACAGAAAGTTACATTAGTACTTATAGTGAGCCAGAATGTGCTGCAACTATAAAATCATCTAGAATATCAGTATTAATTGTGAAAGGCTTTTTGACACCCAATTTAATTTCGAATACATGCCAATTACTATCTGATTATGCAAGTTCAAGGGAATTAGAAAATTATTGGGCATCAATAAGTATTCAAAGCATAGAAGATAGTTTGTGGCAGTGGAGTACAAGTACTCTGAGAGTGTTCTGTCCGCAGAATTGTTCTTGTAACATTTTTTTTTCTAGAGAAAGCAGCACAGTGTATTCTATAGGGCAATTAAAATATTCATAATATATGTTTTACTATTATTTCTCAGGATATATAACTTAATGCGACCACTTACAACATTGCTAAAAACCCTATCGCTTTCCCGCTTATGAAGATGTCTAAGCAAAAAATCATGTTGATACATTATTGCTATACACTATAAAAGGAGGGCATTCCTTTAAATATATCTATATGTCACGCTAGAAACACCATGTGTCTTGTTATTGAATTGTGCTAGTTCCTAATGCACAGCTATTTCCCTAGAAAATATATAGTAGCAAACCTTTACTACAGGAACATCCCTCATCCTCATGGCAAAACAAAGTACTAGAAAATTGTAGGCCTTAAAAAGGCCTACAGTCAATATTTGTAATTCCTAAGGTACACAAACAATAACTATTCAAAACACCTAGTTTTCACTAAACTGTACATATAATAAAGTTCACAGTTGAATCTGTAGATTAAATATTTTTTAGAAAAACTTATGGAAATAGTCATTATCATCGATACAGAGGCCAAATTAAAGTTTTTAAAATTTTTGGTCTGTCTGTTTTGGTGTCTATCTAGTATTGATTTTGATTGACACAGATTTTGATGAAATTTGCCATGATGATTGCAGGTTATCCATTCAACATATAGGATACTTTTTACTGTGGGAAAATATCTCATCTCTGAGAAATGTATACTAAACTTTAAAACATATAAAATTCCAAACCCCGGTAACAGGAAAATATATAATAAAATAAAGTATAAGATATATATATTTATTGAATCAAATAAAATATAAGCTTGATATACAAACATTCCCCACACCACAAACCAACACAGGAATGACTTTCCACAAAAAACAGTGTTGTTTAGGATATCTCAGAAAGTACACTTTGGATTATTCAAATGCACTGATACAGCAGTAGAATACACATTTTTAAACCTCCTAAAGAAAGGTGTTTATCTAATTTTGAACTCCCTACAGTTTAATATGTACTCTATATTATATACTATGTATATAATACATCAACTTCCATAATATAATATAGTAGGTAGTAAATACTTTTAGAAAACCCCAATTACTACCAGTACATAAGCCAAATGTTTGGACAAAAACGCTATTTTAATATAGTGGGTTGTTTTAATAATTATAAGAATAGATTTATAACGCCAAGTTATATTTTGGCCAAGCCAATAACACCGCAGGCAATGCGAGCTCCGGCATTTCCAGTGGTCTTGCTGAGTTCATGCCCACCAACACCGAGGTCATCAGGATCTGCGTGGACCACCAGAGTGCGGCCAACTATACTGTTGGGACCAGCTAGGGATATTTGAGAATCCTGAATGCAGACCTGGAAGTAAATTTTCACAATTAAATTTGTAAATATTAAAGGTACATAATATAAAGTTGTGTTTTTCTTAAAAGTACAGTAAGTATATAATTTCATATGCATTTAGAAAAATTTGTTATTTTGACATTACAAACACACTTCCATGTTATCTGTTTAGATAATATCCCAAAAGCCTTGGGATTTAAGACCTAACATATAAATTAATAAGCATTGTATATTTAACTAAAACCTGATTAGCTCACCGTTATACTTGTGTAGATAAAAAATAATCTATATACTATGGATTAGATTTAGGATTTAGGGTATAATCCATCTCCTGTCCGAAGTTCACTAAGTCTGTTAAATTATTATAGAATAATAGAAGTAATAAATACATATATTATGTATATTAGGATGTGCCAAAAAATGACGATATTTTTTTTTCACTCTAACCCCAAAATATCTCAGAAAATATTCCAACAAAGCTCCTGTTAAAAGCGTAGCTCAAAATTCCAAATCTAAGAAAAAAAATAACATGGAAAACATGGCTTTTAATACTTTTTTGTCCTGCAAACTGTAACGAAAATATTTTTCAAAAACATGAATGAATGGACCTTTTTTAGTATTAAATTTACTAAAAAAAGTTCCATTGAGTCGAATTTCTATCTTCAATATTTGATTTGTTATACAGGGTCATTTTTAATTTACTGAAAACCTTTTGGGAATATACTACATATTTACATCATAACAACCTACATACATCTGTAACAAGAAAAAAATATATTTCTTAAATTTTTATTTTCATACAAAAATAAAAATATTTTTATTGCACCTTCTAAACGGTAAAGTTCTAACATCTGGCCAAGTTTAAATGAGTAAGGGCCACTTCCTACACCCCTCCCCCTCCACCGCTCCCCCTCCACCGCTCCCCCTCCACCGGTCACGCGATTTCTTTTGCATTAGCAATTATGCTGGACTATTATTATTGGAGCAATAAAAATACTTCTATTTTTGTAAAATTTAAGAAATATTATTTTTCTTTCTTACAGATGTTGTTATTATGATGTAAACAGTATATTCCCAAAAGATTTCAGTAAATTAAAAATGACCCTGTATATAGCTTTGAAGTTCAAATTTATGGTCTTTTGCATTTTTTAGCTAAACTGTGAGAGTTACAGAAAAATATTAAATAGGAAATTTGTAATACATACATTTAAAATCCTATAAAAAAGTCCTTGTCAACTTTTTCATATCATCAATAACAACAAACTTACAGGCTCACGAATATTTATTTTTTCAAATTTTTGCTTTTTTTTTATATTTTGGGATGAGAGCAAAGAAAAAAAAATATCGTCATTTTTGGCACACCCTAATGTATATACTCACTCACAATCCACACCGCATTTATATTGTAACAGGTTTGGCTATTAAATGACGAGACATTTTCGGTAAAACAAAAAATCAAGTTCAACGAGAATGAAGGCCATGATTATATGGAGAGAAGGCCTCTTTATATATAAATCGATGTTATATCCCGTTATGTATAAATCGATGTGAGAATGTATGTTCCCTGTGGACACCAAAACGGCTGAAGCAATTTTGATGAAATTTTCAGGAAATCTTAAGATTAGACCAGTAGGTGATCCTGTTAGGTTTGGTATCGATTGAAAGTTTGAACGCGGGCAATACCGCGGGTAATGCTAGTAAATAAAGTTAGTGCAATTAGTACCTTAGTAACACCACCATCTGAGCTAGCTTCAATATTGCCAAGATCTCCAACATGACGGATGTTAGCATCTGGGGCTCCATGGTCCTGCTTCAAGGGATTGAAATGAGGCCCTGCAGATGTGCAACCATTTGTGTTGTCACCAAACTCATGTATATGAAAGCCATGTTTACCCTGGAACAATGATGAATATTATTTATTTTGTTTTAGAAATTCTATATCTCATAATAATTATTCTTTTTATTTTTCTACATACAATATATATACAAAAAAAAGCATTAAAAACATTTATGAAACAACAGATACATACATAGCATTTATTAAATTACCTACTTACAAAAATGCAAAAGATACTTCAGTAGTATAAATATTATCAAGTAACTTACAATATTATTATTTTTTAAACTACCAAGTCATTACAGTGTACAATCAAATCAGACATTATCATACAGGGTCAAGTGACCGGCTGCTATTAGTTACTTTATTAATATGGAAGCTATGCAAATGTTTTACTTAGTACCTAACCTACATTGTCATGATGTTATATATAATTTCAGTCTTTTAATATTGACTATGTCAAATATTTATATTTTACTACATTTCATTATTTCAATAGTAGCTGAAAAGCAAAAACAAATCAATCCCACGAGAATGTAATCTATGTGCTATTCCAGGCTTTAATCTATATCTGTGTCAAATTTCATCCAGATCCATTCAGCTGTTCTGGTGTGATTGAGTTATAAACATCCATCCAGACTTTCGCATTTATACTATTATTTCAATATATATGTATGTATCACAAACAAAATAAAAGCTTGATATTTAAACAATTTAAATTAAATCATATATCACTAAGCAAAGCATATTATTGTCACAGAAATCTTTATAGACATCATAGTATGGCACTAATTTCAGTGGAAACTTCCATAGGATAAGTGCATATTGTAATAAAGAAGGTACTAATAAAGTTACAGAGCATTAGAAATATGTACATGCATTAGAAAAACTGCATCCTGCATAAAAAAATTATATAAATAAAAATGAATCACCGAAATGTATGTACACACATAACTCTTGATCGACTGCACCACATTGTATAATTATTATTTTTTGTGTTTGTTATTGTCAGGACAAGTTTTGTATAGAAGATTTTTTTTTAACTAAAAAAGGTTTTTTTTTAATCACATGATATGAAAAGTGAGTGAGTGAAATACTTCTTATCTTGGAAATCATTCCTTAAGGGTGTGAGAATGGGTATGAAAGCTAGGGACGAACTGCAGCAAAGCGAGGGTGAGTCGCTAGTATATGATAAAACCCTTCATATACATAAGTACATGAGTCAGCACAATTAAAAATAATGTACATCTAGAAACATCTATTGAATTTTACTACTGCAAATTATAGCCATTTTAAATTTACCTTTGAGAGACCATTGACTTCTCCGGAAACAACAACTGGGGACTTGTCATCCTGAAATCATAATTTGTATTTTCATGAAACATTACTTAGTTAAAAGTAGGCACATACTTCAAATTTTAAATATTGTTACATAGATATCACCTATGGAACCCATAAAATTCCATTCTATCTGGATTCTTCTATATAGTATAATAACAATTAAAATAATATGCACAATTAAAATATTGTTCTAGTGACATCAAAACCTTGACCTACAGACCTCCACATATTCCCAAAGCAAATACCTAGTAGTACTTTCCAGAAAAGTATTTACAGTACAACGATAAGCTTAAGTAGTAGATAAACAAGTTAAATGTTTTATTTATCCTTTAAATTGCGTCACAAGTTAAACCAAGGTTATAACATAATTATAAGAAACATACCTTCTGATCGAAGAAGACTGTGCCACTAATGTCACCATTTAAAACGCAAACTGCTTTGGCCGGCATTATTATTTATTATGCAATTAATTTACAGTTAATTTAAATCGAATTCAATGAACGCACAGTAAGAATATCGTAGCGCAAACGTGCGTGGTAACTGGTAACTGATAAATGATTAAACTGTTACGAAATACGAAGACCGAAGTTATTATAGCGATAACTGCCTCTGGTGTTCAAGTATAAAATAAGATTGTAAATTTGTCATGTCATGGACATGTAATGTATCTAATATACTAGCCGTTTTCTTCCACGATTTTAGCGGACTTCGGAGTTCGGTCGGAACGGCTTAAAAGGTGCATTTATACCACACGATTTTATACATTTCCTGGTTCACTATTATTTATTTATTTTAATAAGGTTTGCTAGTGGTTATTACATGTTTTATAAGAAATGCTTTAAGTTAAATAATTAGCACAATTATGCATAACCGTTTAAAAGCAAACACAACTTACATATCCCTGTGTTCGTTTTCACAATAAAATTTCCATTTGTAATTTAATGTTTAGTTTTAATCAATTATATTTATTAAGTACTTATGCATTTTGCAAAAACATATTACAATGTCTGACGGTAATGAATAGCAATTGTAACACTATGATCTTAACTCTTCAGCGCCGGTCGCAAGTTTGATTTCCCATTCAGACCAAATGCTTGCACTTTTACTCAATAAGGTTGTATTTTGAAGTAAAACTTCTTTAGGATCGTGATTTGAAACTCGAAGAAAAAAAAATAAAATTATATTTTTTCCTTATATGATATTCTGTAAAATATAATTATGATTGTAATATACCTAATATGCCTTATTTAATTATTAATTTGTTTTAATTTAATTGCGATATTTGCTAAGGAAGTTTTACTTCACCCGTGCGTAAAGGTTACACGCACCCATTTTTTTCTCATTCATAATATTATCTTTAAATACCTTAAATCCGCTATATAACTTGGGTTATAGAACTTATGTACATTTTTTCGTACATGATATACTTAGTGAGCAAACCACTACGTTACTAATTTTAATAAGAATTAGGATATTTTTAAGCGAAATAATTAATAAAGTTATAATAAATATTATTAATATTAACAGTAAATTTTGATCACTAACTCATATCATATTATTAATAAATAAAAATATATCTTAAAATATATAGCTGCATGTGTAGTGCAAACAATCATTTGATTTTTGAAGCATAAAAAATGAATTGAGAACCTCCTCCTTTTTGAAGAAGTCGGTTGATAAAAACACAAGCAGTTAGATCTAAAGCGGCTTTTTAATGTTACCTTTATAAAATATATTATTTTAAATTTAACAATTTTAAAAATATACCTTTATTCTACTTTGTATTTATGAATAATTTAGCAAAAAAAGAAAGACTTTTATTCACGATAATAATTTTATAAGAGCTATTTTAGGAATAAATATGGAATGGAACGTGGCTGTGTCAAAAATTAATTTGTCAGATGTCAGTCATCATTCAAATAGTGAATTTAGAATTATTCACTAGAAAAATGAAAATAGAAACTAGAATAAAACAAACGTATTCGTCGTATTCGTATAATTTGTAAAAGAAGATAAAATATTTTGTTGCTAAACAATCATTCGTTGCATAATATATGTGGGCCATATAACGGCAACATGGAGCATAATGAGCATTTTATGGTGCCATCCAACGTGCCCGCGGTAATTTCTTTTTTTAAAACATTATATTATCTCTATTTATCTATATGTTTTTATTGAAAATTTTGAAATAGTGCAGTTATTTAAAATGATATTGTTATTATATTACAGGTTATACCCTCTGAAATAATCACATCGACCAACATCATTGAAGAAGGCCTTAGAGTAATTTAATTTTATAAAATGTTCAGTTAAGTGACATACATTTTTGCAAAGTTTTGTATTAAAAATTGATTTATGTTTCAGATTTGTCCATTGTGCTCATCGGAAATTCGATTTTTTTTTATAAATTTTAATGAAAAAATGTTAATGTGTGAGAACACAGAGTGTGACTTTCCATTTGGATATGAAAACTTGCAGTTTCTAAGAGTTGATAATGATGAAGAAATAAGTGATATGCAGTCGGTAAGAACTAAGCCTACATCCCCAAGATCACCTCCTTCAAACTCTATTGTATCCGCAGGTGCTTGGTCAGAAATAGATAAAATAAATAAAGTTTATGATTCAGAAGAAATTCAATTAGCAGAAACTCGCCAATTCACATCTTTAACTGGAAAAGCTAAACTAAATAGAAAATTATCATTTACTAAAGATAGTGAAATCAAAATAAAGAAAAATGTTGAAGACATCAAAGGTTTGAATATGGAATTACAGGAAATAACAGCTTCTTCAAGTATTTTAAGTAATGAAAAGTGGATTAATAATTTAAAAAATCTCCAAGATACATCTGGCATTCAACTTTTAAGACCTCAGGAGTTGAGAAGAGTGCAACAAGAGACGAAAGAAGTCAAAATAAACATAAATACTGATTTAGGGAATAACATGTCTTCAATAAAAATTCAAATTGCTAATACTTAATGATTCGTACTGTTTTTCTTATATTTTCATTTCAAAGTCAACGAAAAAGTGAAGTTTCTTTAGTTATATTAACTAAATAGAATTCTTAAAAGATTCTTAGTTTATTTAAATATTTTTATACTGATTGGTTTCATGAACCAAAATGAATTATAAAACCATACTATGTGGTATGGGTCTAATCATAGTTGCTATGTATAGTGGTAGTAATTCTAATTACAATTAGCACTTGTGTGTATCATACAAGTATTAAGAAAATACAATATTGCAAGTAAAGAGCTAGCAATCTTTTCAATTCAATTCAATTTTTTTGTCAATAGCTTCAAAGCTTGCCAATTGAGCACAGATTACCTTGTCAATGTCACATAGAATGGAGAAAAAAAAGATTCTGACGAATTGAGAACCTCCTTTTTGGAAGTCTGTTGAAAAACAAAGGAGATGATCAGTAAAATAAGATATTAAATAACCATAATTTATCACCAAGCGTAATAGTATGTTTTTTGTCATTTTGCTAGACTGATATTCTACAGACTTTAAGATAAATTTTTTTGCAGAAGATAAAAAATAAAATTATCATAAATGTGCCAAGTCAGTACCTTTTTTTATTTACTTAATATAATAAAAAATTTGGAAGGATTAAAAATTAGTTGATTTTTTAAAGTAAATTTATTTTTTTTTCTATTTTATTAGTATTATATTTTTTGTCTAATTCCAATATCAATGTTATTTTGTGTAGTATTTATGAAGTAAGAAATTTTTTGTTCAATTTATATTGCTCTGTAATTATTTTTCTCATCTTCATAATAAGTTTTAAGTAATGGAGGTTTATTTTTTATGTTCAAAGATTTTTTTGTTTATTAAGTAGTTCAATTAAAGAAGGAATATATTAATTGGAAAACTAGTGTGTTTTTAATTTAATTTTAAAATCAGTTACTAAGATTTAATTTTAGTTTATTATTTTAAGATTTGTTAAATGTTGTCATACTTTAAAAATGATGTTATTGTGATATTAGTTGTAATTTCAAAAAAACCTGTAATAAAAGCTCAAGAAATATGGTATTTAATTTCTTGTATTTCTTTTTACCTATGCATTCGGCCCTTTTCAACCGACTTCCTCAAAAAGGAGTATATTTTTTTTCATGTTTGTTACCTCATTTATTTTATTATATATAATATTATATTAACTGATTTAGACAATTTTTGTTTGAAAGTGTATACTTCCAGATTGTTCCCATTAAGTCTCAAAAAAAAAAATACCACCCCTAAAGGTGGAAAAATAGCTAATGATGAATTTAATCTACTTCTAATTGTAATATTGACTAGAAACTTTGCAAGTGTGTCTATTTCCGTTGATAGTGCAGTGTTTCGGTATCGTTGACCTGTTCTGACGATAAGGCCAGAAGGTGGATAGGTGGAACTCTTCAACGGCTAATAGTAGATACTTAGAGTTTGGGCTTATTTTGTTTGATTTGACAAGCCTAACACGTTAAAAACGGATTTTAGAGCCAGAATTTTTAGTGTTACTAATAAAAGCGAATGTTAGTTCGTAAGTCTTCATATAAAAATTGGCATCAAAGTAAATTAAATGGTTTAAGCGAATATTTTATTAAAAACTTTCTTCTTACTTTGCTACTACTATGCCTACACTAAAAAGGGAAAAATAAAAACTGCCAGCCGATACAAAGTAAAGCACACCGGCTTCGAAATTATTTGCTTAGGTATGTATAGGAAATTAAAACTACCAATCAGTTATTTTTTACTTTTTAGTGCTTTTTCGAAGTCTGTTTTTTTTGTTAAAAAGTTTTTTTAACATCCCACTGCTGGGGACGGGCCTCTCTTCCATGTGAAGGGGATCAGACCTTATTCTACCACGCTGGCCAAGCGCGGGTTGAAAATTGCAGACATTATTAGATATATTTATATAATTTAAATAAAATATAGGTAATATATGTACATAAAATAACGATATTGTCAAAGGACTCATAGATTCCTAGATCAAATACTTGTTATTCTTTTCTTTGTTTGTTATTCTTTGCAATATAGCTATGTATGTATTTAGCCCTTATTAACTTCCCACTTCCAGGCACGGGCCTTACTTCGAGGTGAGAGGAATCAGGCCATAGTCACATTGGCCAATGAGGTTTTCTCAGACATGCAGGTTTCATTACGATGATTTTTTTTCCTTCACCGTAAGGCAAGTTGTAATCATATGAAAAATGATTCGCAAATGAAATTCCAGAGGTGCGTGGCCCGTAATCGAACCCGCTTCACTCGGTCTCCACACCACTGGGCTACCACTGTTTCAACAACATGTCAACATGATTGCGACAAAAAATGACATATTGGGTAACGAAGTGAACCATACAAAATTATAATAAATGCGAAAGTTTGATTTTCGTAGTACCTACCTATAGGTTCAACGGATTTTAGTGAAATGCAGAATAGAGAACGCTTAAATTCTGGAACACATAGGTTATTTTTTTTAACTGCGCAAAGCCCAAAGGAGGGCTATGTGTTTGTTATCGATAAAGTTAAAGAAAAGGATTAATTTTTTTGGATATCTATCTGACATGTTATGTATTTAGCATTATTTATAACATCCTACTAATATTATAAATGCAAAAGTTTGTGAGGATGTATGGATGTATGGATTTCCGGAAGTCTGAATAGATGTATGTATGTTTGTTACTCTTTCATGCAAAAACTACTGAATGGATTTTACATTAATGTAGCTCATACATCAGAGTAGCACATACGGATCCGGGAAAAATGTACTTTTCCCGTGGGATAGATTTGTTTTTTTATTTTTGAGGCGATATCAAACGAAGCGAGGGTGAGCCGCTAGTTTTTATATAATAATAATATTTTATAAGTCTAAAATTCTTCATATTTCTAGAAAATGATAGGAAATAGGAAATAACAGTAGCTTCACGGTCAAGAAAAATGAAAGTGAAATAAGATATAGTATATCGACAAGTAATTTCGCGGCTACCTGCCATTAACGGTGTTTGAGAGTTTACACCATATTCCTCTACCTTCTAAACAAGATTCTGTCTGCAGTAACGCCCGTGTTAAGTGTGATCTTTTTTTTTAAATAAAACTTCCTTTTTGGAATTTTTCGTGGATTTATTTTGATCTTTTTTTTTCATTTTATCGTTAAGACAGTATAACATTTTGAATATACATACATGTGAAAAGTATCTGCTACAATAGCCCAGAGCATGCCCTCTGCGTGTACCAAAATGCATTTTTTAAAGGTTAACTTCCTTATTTCTTTAAAATTAAAGGATGGATGATAGGATGTAAGAAGAAAGGAAAAGCCATCGCCTTTTTGTAATATTACTGCTTATAAATGCGAAAGTTTGGATGGATGGGTATTTTTTACTCCATCACGCTAGAAGGACTGAACGGATCTGGATGAAATTTGACACAGTGATAGATTATAATCTGGAATAGCACATGGGCTACTTTTAATCGCTGAAAAATGTACGGTCCCCGTGGGATAGATTTGTTTTTTTTTCACTAGGGACGAACCCGAAACGAGGGTGAGGCGCTAGTTAAGTATAATTTTATTGACATACTTATTGCTGGTTAGATGGTTTAAGAGTACAGAGGTATAGCTAAAATATAATTTATACAATACTCATATCTAAGATTATTTATTGATACTTAGAGCCCAAACACGAATGCGATAGAGACCATAAAGTCGCAGCGACCACCTCAACTGTTCATAAATGATGACCACGAGTGTGTAGTGGTTGCATGGTGTGCTATCTTTTTACATTGGTAACGTCTTCAATTCATTTTCTGATTTTTTTTAGAAATACACACACTTATATCGATGTATAAATATTCTTGTTAGAGAATACGTAATTTCATTTTTTCACAATTTCAATGCGAGTGAAGTCATATGAAAGAGCTATTCATTACATTATTAAAAAAATAGTATTATTAAATGATTTAAAATACTTGTTTTAAAGAATTCACGAACATTCCCGATCAGATTTAATTAGTAAAATATAGGAAGGAAGCCGGAAGACGTCTTAAGAGTTTTGAACCTGACTTTCGCTGTCGATATCTTGCTAACAGTTACCGCTCGTATACGACAAATTGTTTACTAGAAGCTTAAATTATTATTTTATATATTATATTAAATTAATAATATTAATTGAGTTATAGTTATTTTTAATTAGAGTTTAAAATTTATAATTATTATTAAAAATTCGATATATATATTTTTAATTTAATTTTATTGATACAAAACCTCTCCGTTTGCAACTACTTACTAATTGTAAATATTTGAATTTTTATTTATCTTTATATTATTATAGGTCCTTAGTATTGCATTAAAATTCATCATGTCACAATCATTTCAATTCATTAAAACCTATATGGATAGAAAAGTTATGTAAAGGAAGGTATTCTCTAAATTTACTCGTAAGGTAGAAAAATGCAATTTTTTAATGAAAATAATGGTTTTCTTTACCAAATTAATGTCATATTTTATGTGGAATAATATTAACTGATATTTGTATTTAAATTATACCTAGCAAATATGATTAATTGTCAATTGTATTGTCAATATAAAAGCACACGTAGAATCGCAAAATAAGGTAAGTATTAAGTAAAATTGAAAATAGACGTAGCAAGCCCGCACATATCGGTCGGATCAGTTCGTTCTCACCGAGAGTATAAAGCGGGGAGACACTTCTCTGACCACAGTTTAGCAAAAACCGCGACAGTTAATGAACTTATGTGACGTGTTGGAACTTGGCTTTCAAAGGTAATGTATTTCGTATTTTATTATTCAGTTATTAATTCATAGACAATATATACCTATTTACTCATAAAAAGATTTTTTCTTAGATTTACGCGAATGTTTGACATTTTTAAATAAAACTATTTTTCGGATTATTTCGCGGATTTATTTTGATTTTTGGATCCCGACGATTCGAATGCTTTACAGCATCCATGGTCACGGGAGAGACTGAGATGTTACATGTCTTGAAGGTATAGTTGTTACAGACCCACAATTAACAAAATAAAAATTGCACCAATTACATTACAATATTTTTTAACTTGTTGTAATGTAAAGCATTCGAAACGTCGGGAACCAAAAATCAAAATAAATACGCGAAATAATCCGAAAAGATAGTTTTATTTAAAAATATAAAAAGATTATCAAAATCATAGATAATATAAACCAATAAAATATAAAAAAATGATAAGTAGTAGGTCATCCTTAAAAGAATACTTATGGCATCAATTACATTTAAATAATTATTGTTTTCTCAAGTCGAATTATAAATTTTATTTTTACTTAAGTTAATTTCATTATTTTAATAAATATCTTTTTAATTTTCATTAATTTTTTGATTAAATTCATATTTCTTATTTATGTTTTAATATATATAATTAAATAGTCTGCGACGAGCAATTCTCCTGGTTGTGAATCACATTTCAAAATTCAAAATATTTTATTCAGCATTAAATTATTACAATTTTTCAACCGACTTCAAAAAGGAGGAGGTTCTCAATTCGACTGTATGTTTTTTTTTTTTTTTTTTTTTTTTATGTTTGTTACCTCAGAACTCCGTCATTTATTAACCGATTTGGACAATTTTTGTTTTGTTTGAAAGGGTATACTTCCAGATTGGTCCCATTTAAATTTCAAAATAAAATACCACCCCTAAGGGTGGAAAAACAACTAATGATGAATTTAACCTACTTCTAATTGTCATATTGACTTGAAACTTTGCAAGTATTTCTATTTCCGTTGATAGTACAGTGGTTCGGTGTTGTTGACCTGATTTGATGGCAAGGCCAGAAGGTGGATAGGTGGAACTCTTCAACGGCTAATAGTAGATACTTTGAGTTTGGGCTTATTTTGTTTGATTTGACAAGCCTAACACGTTAAAATCCTTACTTTGCTACTACTATCTACACTAAAAAGGGAAAAATAAAAACTTTTTAACAAAAAAATAAAAACCGACTTCAAACAAAAGCACTAAAAAGTACAAAATAACTGTTTGGTAGTTTTCATTTACTATACATACCTAATCAAATATTTTCGAAGTCGGTGTGCTTTGGCTAAGTAATTAAAGCCTACCTATTAAATACATACCTAATCAAATATTTTCGAAATCGGTGCCAGCCCATACAAAGCAAAGCACACCGATTTCGAAAATATTTGATTAGGTATGTATAGTAAATGAAAACTACCAAACAGTTAATACTTTCTTAGATTTACGCGAATATTTGACATTTTAAATAAAACTATCTTTTCGGATTTTGTCGCGGATTTATTTGGATTTTTGTTTCCCGACGTTTCGAATGCTTTACAGCATCCATGGTCAATTGACCATGGAATCTTTCATTCATCAATTGAAATGGAATGGAATAAATCCGCGACAAAATCCGAAAAGATAGTTTTATTTAAAATACCAAACAGTTATTTTGTACTTTTTAGTGCTTTTGTTTGAAGTTGGTTTTTATTTTTTTGTTAAAAAGTTTTTATTACTGAACGTCATGAGTCTACTACCAGTTCGGAAAGAAGAAGCCTCAGACCTGAGAAGAAGTGGCGAAAGAAACTCAGCGGGACTAATATTAACTTGAATATTTTGTCTTACATTGTCTAGCAGTTCACATGAGACACGTATTTACTCGTAACAAATCTAAACAATGTAACTCCAATAGTGTCTGAGTAAAATGATTGTAACATACGGACAGAGGAACAGGTGAATATAACGAAATTATAACGATTCCGTCTTTGCCTTTTGGCTACGGACCCCTAAATTGGAGTGCATACACTATCTACACTGTTAATCATACTAAATTACGTAAGTCCTTTTTAATTTAAAGCTTATCTTAAAACTTTCAGATGATTACGCGCGCAGCATTTTGCATTTTGATAGTAGCAAGTGTGCAAGGCAGCGACACCAAAACATCTGGTACGTATCAACTCGCATGTTATACAAATAACAAGTTTAATATACTAACAACTGCTTGTGGTTTTATCTATATCCCGGATATAAGTGGATAATACCAGTAGGTATTTTGTTATTCCACTGGTAATTTTTTCTATAAATAAAAATAAATCAACCCTTGCTCTTTACTAACAGGATAGGATGAAGAGACCTTGTAGGTATTTTCTCATCAACTGCTGTGCCAGCCGTTGCGGGTTCGAGTCCCGCTGGGGACATTCATTTGTGTAATGAACACTAATGTTTGTAGTCCAGTCATGGCTGATTATATTTTTATTATGTATGTATTTAAACCTATGTGTAGCATATTAACTATCTGGTGTCCACAACACGAGCCTCGTAGCTTATCATGGAACTATATGGTGCTGTGTGGTAATGTCCCAACATATTTATTTATTTAATTTCGCCGGTTGATATAAAAAAAAACGTATTTTGCTTATATTTTTCTCTAAAAAAAAAGCAATTGAAGTGTATAAGTAAACAAAAAATACACAGACTAATACTCTAAAAACCGTTGATGTGGCATTTTCTAAATCCCGAAAATCAGATCTAATTAGGATAGAAGAAAAAAATCGACTCTCCCGAGGCTGTCATAGGTTATTTTTAGCCATTACAAGCAAGTACAGTCTCGAGCGAAAGCTTTTATTATATAATAATTGATCTTGTGCCCCCTTTTCTTACATAAGACTTCAAAAAGGCACCCATTGAAAACAATTTGAAAGTGTTCCGTGACAACGCAGATTCTTTACAATTTTAACATACACTTGATATTTAAATTAATTTCAAAGTCATGGTAAAAGTATGGGTTCGAAAGTTCAACGCATCACTTCCCATTGTTATAGATAATACTAAATAATATTACATTATTATAATATAAGAAAATATTATTTCTAACATAATCGTGAAATGTGTACATTTTACTAACTGCTTTCTGAACCTTTAATTGTACGATAAGCTCTGTATCCGTAATCAGTCGAGCAGTTTTTAAAAAAATCGACAATAACTGATTTTTTTAAATAAATCGCTTAATCGAATATGTTATTAAAAACTTTCTTCTTACAATTTACCTGCATATTACGTCTACATTAAAAATGGAAAAATAAAAACTTTAAAATTAAAAACCGACTTCCAAGCACTAAAACGTAAAAAATAACTAAACGGAGGTTTTCATTTAGAATAGATACCAAATCAGATATTTTCGAAGTCGGTGCCAGCCGACAGTATTTTAAGATATGAAAATCTAATAGGTAAATATGATTTGGTATGAACTCTTATTATAGTTAAAATATTATACATCAATTTGTGATGTATTATATGTGTCGAAATATACCTATTACGAGAATATTAGATTTGCTTTGCGTCGGCTGGCACCGACTTTGAGCTTTTATTTTGCAAGTCTAACTAATTATTTTTCATAAATCAATATAATATAATTATTAAAAATGTACGCAAGTGTGTTTGTTAGTTCACAATTAAATTAAATAAATAAAAAATAAGTATATCTATACATCTATACTAATATTATAAAGAGGTAAAGTTTGTGAGTTTGTGACGTTGTAGGAGGTAATTTCTGGATCTATTGAACCGATTAAATGAAATTTGGTAAAAAGATAGTTTGAGACCCTGGGAGGGACATAGGATACTTTTTTTCCCGGAAACATCCCTTAACGGGGTGAAAATGGGGATGAAAGTTTGTAGTGGGAAACAAGCTAGGGACGAACCTGAGCGAAGCGAGGATGAGTCGCTAGTAATATAATAAAATTCTGAGTCGAATCTGTACTTACATTAAATATTTTTTAGAAAATTTAATAGAAATAGTCACTATTATCGATATAGAGGCCGAATCTTTAGTTTTTAGAATTTTTGTCTGTATGTCTGTAACGCATCACGAGAAGAGAACTAGATAGATTTTGATGAAATTTGGTATAATGATAGCTGGTTATCCGGGTCAACATATAGGATACTTTTCACTGCGTGAAAATATCTCATCTCTGAGAAATCTATACTAAATGTTAAAACGTAAATAGGGACGAACCCGAGCGGAGCGAGTGTGAGTCGCTAGTATATGATAATATTTAATTATTCACGACATTATACAAGTCCAAGTGTACTTTTTCCTTTTACGACGAAGTAACTGTTGAAATCGAAAGTAGCTCTCTATTCATGACTTAGTTAATAATTTTTTAATGACGCAATTGCAAATATGGAAATAAGTTCACGTTAAAGTATACTTTTAATTATTTTTTATTTATTTTATTATATAAATCTTAACGGTGATGGCGGAATGATTGAAATGAATGATGGATGAATGTTATGTACACTTGTTATTGATATACATATCAGTGAGTGCGTTACTTTTCTTATAATTTAGTGTTTTAATGTTAAATATGTACATTGTAAGTGTACTTATGAAATAAATAAACAAATAAATATATGGTTATTTTAATTACTTTGGGATGAATATAGAGTTTTTTACACAAAACACGAGTATCTAGCTTATATAAATAAACTATTTTTTTAAATGTAATTTTTGTGGGTTTTATTAAAACAAACCATTTATTTATTAACTATTACAAAAAAAACGAAATATGGATCCTAACTTGTATTTTTTAGGAAAAATAAAGCAAAAGATTTGTTTTTTATTATGTTACATATTATAAAGAAACGAAATTATTTTTCAGGTATTTCACAATTTTGGGCAAACGACTACAAAGTTTTCGATCAGATTTATGGAAGGACATCCGACAAGGACCTCTATGGGGCGACTCTACCGCCTCCAATCCGTTTCGATGCTCCCAAAACCATACAAATTGGGGCATCCAAAAAAAACGAGCGATACGTCACATATGAAAAGAATATATTAGATCTGGAATTACCGTACGACTTTTCGGACCGCTATGCAAAATTATTTTCCAAGTCTCTACTTACAGAGAAGTCCAAGCCATCTTCTGCTTTACAATTCATAAGTTTCTCAGATTTCAAACCAATCAGTAAATCAACTGATCCAGAGACATATAACTATTTGAAAAATCTAGAAAAGAAGACAAAGCAGAAGGAAACTAAGAACAAAGCTATCAGCTCTGATTTTGAAGAAGATGAAGCATATAAAAGTATTCAGGATATTATAGACGCTCATGAAGCAAACAAAGCCGATACTACTGAAGAAGCGAGAACTAAACGACCAAAAGAGAATGTTAGAAATAGAAACAGAAATAAAGTTAGGTTTATTAACAATAACAGTATAAAATCTAGATGCGTGTCCAGAAGATGCAGGGCTCCGGTCCGAACGCGGCCATATTTGAAAATCAAACGCTATAGATACTCTAAACGCTGATTATTAATAAGGAAAACCCAACCACGTCTAATAGATTTAAGGTATTTATTTGTAACTGATTAGGGGATGCGACTTTACTCGTGTGTTCGCTGTTGAGTATAATATGACTACTTATGGGATTGTCAATTAAATTAAACTTAACTATAATATTCATTTATGGCAAAAAATCCAATAGAAACCTATCCAGACCTGAACGAATGCCACCCAAACATTCACACAAATAACACGTTTGATTATGGTATTTATTCCCAAATGTGCTTTAATCACATTTTAATAAATAACCTTACTAAAAACATTTAAAAGTATTTTGAGAGATTTTATTTATTATATATAGATATATGATTTTCCAACTTAAAAGTTAAAAAAAATATAGTTTTATGATAAAGTACCCAAAACAGCCATTACTTTTTTTTTATTACGTATAGTAAAGAAATAATATTATTTTCAACACAAAAAATAACTTATTTAATTAACCTCATATTTTTCAGAGAAATATTATGCAATATCGTTTTATATTTTTTCTTATGTAATATAAATTATGTTTGTAAATTAATAATAGGTTTACTTTTCATATTTCATTATAATTCTTGTCAGAATTTATAATATAAGTTAAATAATAAAGAAAAAATTAAAAACAAAATAATTGTGTTGTTTTTAATCTTTCGTTATTTATAATATCTCAATATGCTTGATAATTAAATTACATATCACGGGTTTGATTCCCATGACGAGCAAAACGTATTAGAGTTGATAGAAGATCTTCTAAAGTTAATCAGGTAAATAAAAAACGATTATTACTTAAAAATATATATTTCTTATCGCGCGGTCGTTACGCGAACTTTTCCAGCATATTTTTGTAATTAAAAATATTTGGAAAATATTTCTGCATTTTCACTCAGATTACTATTAAATGTTGTATAAAATATAAAAAAAATTGTAGAAGAATTAAACACATATTGCGTCCTCTGTGTTTAAATCTCAAACAATTTAATCAATATCCAAAAATCCTTTTAAGGGATACTACTACATATTCTATGTAGTTACATCATTTTAGTTTGGAAGAATTTCCATACATAATTTTACATTTTACTTAAAAACATCAGTAATATATTATCAGCTACAAAAACATAGTTATCTGATATTTAATAAATAAAATTAGAATTTGTGACATTTTGTCGTTCATCCGTCCGTCCGTTAGCAACGGGATTACGTGTCTTCTTGTTGTCCTCTATCCCGTTGAGTAGGAAAGGCGGTGCGCCTGCGCTGGCCGCAGAGCGTCGGTCTATCTCTCGCGTCAGGTCATCTAAGAACTGCCCGCCCGTCTGCCTGGAAAATATTGGTTGTAATAATGGAAGAAACACCTATTTGTAAATTTTACAATTTGTATGGCAAAATGATATAAAAAACCTATAAAATATAGATTCTATGGTGTTTAGAATGTTCAGCTTTTCGTACATCCTATTATTGATTATTATATTGGCGGTGAACGGATTTCCTGCCGGCAGTCGCAGCACTAACTTTGATCGATAATCTTGCTATTTATTTAGCGTAAAGTGTTAATAAAAGTATAGATAATGTGCATTCCTAATTCTTTCATCGCATCTTGTCACGAATGTATACGTAAAGTTGATCAGTGACTACATATAGTGGTTGCATATGAAAAGTATTGGATTCGAATCTCAAATCCCTTATAAGCCGGTTTACAGCTCATCACTTTCTGATCGTATAGAATACGCCGTACTATGAGAGTTGATGATATAGTGAGAGCTCCTGTATTTTTGTCAACTTTTCGCACTATAATATCTTTCGCGGTACCATAATCAAATCTCCACTAATATAGCTTATCTTAGGATGATTATTATTACTGTCGTTTTTAGTCGCTTGCAGAAGCAATATATATAACATATGTATTTGACAAGTACGCACCGATCTGTAGTTCCCCTGCCGCTTTCCACATCATCATCAGCACCCTTGTACATGGAGTATCCACGACGAGTTAGTTCCTCGTCAGGAGTCAGGCCGGGGTTGTGGAACGCGTGGTTTCTGTCTGGGCTCATCGTAAGCTTCCTGAAATTTTTGCGTTTTTACTTATTAGAACATGAGCATGAATTTTGGTGTAAGTTTTTAGAATTTCGCCTAATTTTTGGAACTAGTCGGATAATCCTTTTCTGTGACTATTTAACCGCCTTCCAAAAACGAGGAGGTTTTCAATTCGTCGGAATCTTTTTTTGTATGTATGTTCACCGATTACTCGAAGAAGCCTTAACCGATTTGAATTTTTTTTTATTTTGTTTGAAAGGGTATACTTCCAAGGTGGTCCCATATAAATTTTATCGAAATCCGTCTAACAGTTTTTAAAAAAATCAACCATAAATTATATTTTTTTAACAAATTGTTTAATCGAATATGTTATTTATGAATATTATCTATTACATTGCTATATTAGTATCTATTATGGTCAGCGCTGAATTAACACTAGAGACACTCGGGGATAGTGCCCAGGACGGCAAATTTTTAGAGGCGGAAAAAATTCTTCGCGTTATCGAAAATGTTTTTTATTTTCGAAAAAATGAAAAATAAAAAAAATTAACTAGTAGGTACATTTCGAAAAATTGATATTATTTATATATTGGTAACAAACAATCACAATGATTCAGCTGTGGCTAGTGTCTATCTACTCGTAAGTAATCGAATGTTATTTTCTGCACATAAAAATGTAGTACTAATTATATAGTCTACCAACGTTAAAATATAAGCATAAATTTCCCTCTGTAAACTAAGCACACAATAATTATAGATTCTTAAAATCTATATATATAATAAAATTCTGAGTCCAATCTGCACATTAAATATTTTTTGGAAAATCTTATTGAAATAGTCATTATTATCAATACAGGGGTCGAATCTGTAGTTTTTAGAATTTTGGTCTGTTTGTCTGTCGGGGAACGCATCACAAGAAATTCATTGGGCAGATTTTGATTTGAAAGCTATAATGATAGCTGGTTATTTGGGTCAATTTATGGGATACTTTTTACCGCGGGAAAATATCTCATTTCTGAGAAATCTATACTTACCGTTAAAACGTAGTATAGCATAAAATAGTATATCTGGAAGTGGCTCTGGAAGTTAAATAAAAAATTCCACTACATACCCCATACGAAATGCAATCAAGGTATGCAATGTAGCACACAAGTCAAATTAATAAAGTTGGTTAAAAATAAGTACTCACTGAACCCGCAGACGTCCGCTTGCACTAAGATCAGTCACTTTCCGACGCAAGCTCGCTACTTGACTGAAGAGGACCAGGCACAGGATGAAGAGTAGCAGCCATGCAGCGCTAAACACGCTTATTATTATGATCGTCGGAGTATCCTGAAAAGATGGCAATTATTATTGAAAATACACCAAGTTCATCATGTCCAAGCGATTTTTATTCCGATTATAGGATAAAAGTAATATTTGTGTAATATTATGTTTTACATACTCGTAATATATTTTAAATACATAATACGTTTGTTTATGTGAAAGTCGAGTTTTAATTTATTTTTTTCAAAATTGCTTTTACTTTTTAAATCATATAAAGTCTGTGTCCAGTGTCCACTCTATATCCAGTCCGTTTAAAATATAGGTGGAAGACTTTTTTGAATACCTTGAATAGTTTTGGATATTACATACAGACTTTATCTTTTTCAAATATTAGTGTGGTGATGTGTGTTGATTTATGTATAACAAGAAATGATGGAATTTATAATACGTAAATGATTATTATTTACGTATTATAAATTCCATCATTTCTTGTTACGTTGGGACATTAACAGAAAACACCATCTACTTGTATAAATGGATTCCAGATAGTTGATACGCTACACATATATTACTTTAAATACATACATATTATGAATATAAACACCCATGACTGGAGTACGAACGTTCGTGCTCATCACACAAATGAATGCCCCCAGCGGGACTCGAACCCGCGACCGCTGTATTTTCTGTTGCAAACAATAAACATGTAAAAGTTTATAAAATAGTCTAAAATGTTACTTAGTTAGGTAAGTTGTATGAAAATATGTTAAAAATATTTAACAGTACAAGGATTAAGAGTTTTGGTAGTGAAAATAGCTGCAGATTTTTTTTGTAATGAAGTTTCTAGAATTTTATGTGCTTTTACTATAGCGCGCCTTGTAGTGGTTAAAGGTTGAATATAAATAGTGTGTCATTGCTATTATTATATTTTATTTTAATGGATCGGTGTATTTATTTATTATTAAAAGTGTTTGTTCTTTGTCTGAAGTGTTTCACAGAGCCTAAAATAAAATAGATAGAAAATGATAATGTAGAGCTGATACGTGGATAAAAAGTAGGCTGTGTTTTTATTCAGGATACAGAAGCTATACCTCTCCATTTCTTATGCCCGATTTCACCAACGAGCCATAAGCTACCACCTACGTATGGGATCCCTAGCTTAAATGTCCCCTAAACTAGCCCCTAAATTAAATTTCGTTTTACGATCGTCTTTAAGCCCATATTTCGAGCATCTATATTTAGGGGGCCTTTTAATATTTAGGTGACCCCTAACTGTCGATGAAACAGAAACTGTCTCCTAACAGCTCCCTAACCATGCTTAGGGGATCCCTTAAACTTAGGTGACGTTGGTGAACTCGGGCATTAGTCTCTCTCATGGTCATGGAAAGTATTTGAAAAGTGGGGGAGCAAAAATGCAAAATTGAACCGCGACAAAATCCGATAAGACTTTATTTCATTTTAAATTTTTACTCAAATCTATTAAGCTTAGATACATACAGCTTGACGAAGGGACGTATGCAGTCATGCATTACTCATATTTTCGCATTTAAAATATTAGTGTGACCTATCTAAGTGATAGGTCTAAATTTAAGAACGCATAGATCAAATCAGATAAGAAGTCAGAATTCTCGTTACTGGCTTCAAAGCTTGAAAATTGAGCACAGCTTACTTCGCCAATGTCACGTAAAATGGAGAAGACACCATAGTAAATAATAATAATCTTACGTTTCTTTATCCTTTTAGTGATATCCTACTAATATTATAAATGCGAAAGTTTGTGAGGATGTCGGGTTGAGATATATGGATGTTTGCTACTCTTTCACGCAAAAACTACTGAATGGATTTTAATGAAACTTTACAATAATATACTCGTAGCTCATTTTAATTTTGGAAAAATGTTTGTTTTCCGTGGGATAGATTTGTTTTTGTTTTTCGTAGAGAAGAGCGAACCGAGGGTGAGCCGCTAGTTTTTATATATTTCCAGTGGCCATGTAAAGTGAAATTGAAAATGCATGGAACGAAATATTATTTTTTCAAAATTATTACTGTTTTTAAACAATAACATCCGTGAAGTCAACTATTTTAATATGTATTAGTCAGCACTCAAAAGCCACAGTTGTAATACGAAAGGCAGATAACATGTTGACCAATCGTGAATGTACTTCAAGAATTCTAAGATACCCTAATCACTTGAGACACCTGATAATGTTGGTAAGTAATCTAAAAATTTAATAGAATGATGTTTTATTACAATTAACTTATTCCTTCAATTGAATTGGTCTTGTATGTTTACGTTTGGTTTCGGTCCCATATATATTTATTAAGAAAAAAAGATACTTATAAGAGCATATTGAGACTTTTAAAGTGATTTTAATTAAAAATATAGTGTCTGTTCGTTTTAGACATAGATATTTTTGATTTGTTATTCATTGATTTGATAGCGGTAAGATGGATTTCATTAGTTTTTTTTTATTATATTATAACTTTATGTGGATATAAAATAAGATTCTAGTTTAGTAACTGCTAAGTAAATGTAGATTGACAAAAAGACTTACAAGTTCCATTGCGTTTGTAAAGTCTCGCTTGAGATGTAAGTGCAATCTGAAAAGACAACCAAAACAATCATAAACCAGATTAAACAATAAGATCATTTTATTTTTATTTTTGCTACATCAAAGCCCAAACATCCCATCTTAGGAACGGCGGAACCACTTGTATGAAATTTACACTGGCGTAAGCAGAACTTGAGAGATGCTTATCAAGGCATTATCAAGTATTAGCATTTAGCATCTGCATAGGCCATTAATTCCTCAATTAATTTCTATGATATTAGTTAAGTTTCGAAAAGATACCTAGGAACGTGGCTGAGAGAGGTGAGGACGGGAGGCTAGTAAAGGTTATGTACAATAGATTGATCTAGGTGTCTAAGAGATCAAATCATTAATGTAAGAGTTAAATTCTTAAACCGTATACTGAATTAATTTTTCATATTTCATTTGTTGCTAAAAATTGATTATATTCCTAGTAAAGCTTACTAGTAAAGCTAATAAAAACAATGAAAATGCTCACCGTAATAACTAAGTGTATGGACACATGTTTATTGTAAGTGAGCGAAACGCGCACTGTACGCTGTTATCAAGATAGCAGCTGATAACGCAGTCACGCTGCCCATCTCGCGTACCTACGTGCTGGGTCTCGGTCTTTATCTCCAATGATACTTGTTGGGATGTGGGAAATGCGTTTTAAGTTGAATAAAGTTTACAGTATTACCTGTTCTACTTCTATATCCATACTTATATTATAAATGTGAAAGTGTGTTTATTTGTTTGTATTTCTTTCACGTCGAAACGGAGGAGAGTTTTTATCGCAAGAGATCATCTTATTCCCATGGGAAAACAGGTTATAATACAACCCAAAAATATTTATGATCATAATTACTTGAAATTCGGTATTAATGTTCTCTAATACAATTAAGGAAATATGTGTGTTAGCAATTTTCGAAATTCATCCATGAGGGGGTAAAATAGGGGATGAAAATTTGTATGAAACCTACCTTTTTAGAGTTTGTTTTTGTAGTTATAGCATGGTGCTAGTATTATATAAAAACGATGTATGTATGTTCTCTATAGACTAGAGAACAGCTGGAGCGATTTTGATGAAATTTTCAGACAATCTTCAAATTAGCCCAGCGGGTGTTCCTGTGGTAGCGATCGGAACTTTGAACGCGGGTGAAGACGCGGATACTGCTTGTATATCATAATATACCAAAGACATATATTCTTTTTTAAATATGACAAACTGGCGACTATTACCCTCGTTTTACCCGGGTGCGTCCCTAGGTGTCTAACAGCAACAGGAACCTTTATGTTATTTCAGATCATAACCTATCTGTTTACTAAAAATCCAAATTCATCTAACCTTTTTAATGTCAGGAAGTACATACATTTCCATACATACTTTCGCATTTATAATAATCGTCCAATTCGCACAAAAGTCATTTTCAAAAGTTGTTCTAATATCGTTTGACTAGTGTTGTATATATTCTAAGTGTGTGTTTTGCTGTGCAGACAGAAAGCGCACATTATAGGATTTATCAACATCGCCCAAAATGTTTTTGCTTGTTTTTCACGGATCCTTCAAGTTTATCTAAAAGCACCCCGGTACTAGGCGATCACGGCAAGGACTCTAATGCAGTGACTTGTCGCGTAGTGTTTAAAATCGAAATATCAACTACCTAAAATATTTTAATAATGTATATTCATTATTTTTAATTACCTTAGATAGTTTGGGGGTAGCTTACTAGACAGTAATTCAGCCGGGCGTGAAGTTAAGTTATTGGTACTATATCATATATAGACAGCAATGGATGGTGAGAGTAAACTTTTCGTCGGGTTGTCCTGGTGAGTATTTAAGTATTAAAGAGGTGCCCCATCAAGATTGGGAAAGCTCCGTTGTGTTGAAAGCAGTACAGCAGCTTTTCTATCTAGTGAGCTTTTACATAATCACTTGTTCTTCAGTTGATATGCAAAATGTATTTAAGCCCATAATTAGTCCGCAATATTTTGCAAAAGTTTCAAACCGATACGCCAATTAGTGTTTGAGTATATTAAGGTTGACTTCTCAGAATTGTTTACATATTTGGTAATTAGGAAAAAAGAAAAAATAATAAGCATGTAAAAAATAATAAGTATGACAAATGTATGACGACACTTTCTGACATTCTAATATATCTAGCTACTTATTTTAAAGGCGTACATTTCATTATTATCATTTATAGATAAAACATATGAATTGATAAGCCGTGATTAGTATACATTAGTTATAGATATGTAAATACTTTGAAATATGTTAATGATACATAATTATATTGATAGCTTATAGGAAAACAGATACACACCTATCCCACGGGAACTGTACCTTTTTTCTGGGAGAAATAGTAGCCTATTTGTTATTCCAGACTATAATCTATCTCTGTGTCAAATTTATCTAGATCCGTTCAGCCGTACTGGCCTGTAAGAGTAACAAACATCCATACTCACAAACTTTCACGTTTATAATATTAGTATAGATAATCAATCCATCCTGTACTTTTAGTAAATTTTAGAGCATCCAGCCGGGCGTTAGGCCACGAGATGCAATTGGAAGCCAGTCTTTGGAGAGTACTATACGGGTTGCTCCTATTATTTCTTTAATATTAACCCCTCGGTTGTCGTGGACGGGGAAGGTAACCTCATTAAAAATCTCCCTTAGTTCCAAACTCAGGCGAGCCGAGATATGCACCGTAGGGGAGAAAGACAGCTTTATCGTTAGAGGAGGTCTCGGCAGGCCAGCCGTCGGGACGTCGAGTGTTTTGGTGTTTCTGCGGCACCCCATTAAGACGGGGAAGATTTCTATTGATTTTCAGTGGATAGTACTTATTTTTCTAGCCAGTGAGTCTTCTCATAACACGTAATAAACGTACGTGTGTCGATGGTATGCGTAAATGCTTTTCTCAACGTAATTTTTTTTTGTATTTATGATACTTACTATTTAATTAAAAAGGTTTAAATATAATTATATCATTAATAAAGAATCGTTAAAAACGTATTCGTAAAAAAAACTAATTTAGTACCTCTTTTTTAGAAGTCGTTCACAACGAAGAGTTAGATATAGTGGCATAAGCCATAAACTTATTATAGGTATTTAATCAATAATTTCTACAAACAACCCAATAGAATGTTATTGTAGCAATGATCATTAATAATTATCGTAGAAGGAAGTACATGTAATAATAAAAATTGTATAAGGTAATAAAAATATATAGGCACAAGTGTACATTATAATATATAATAGATTATTAACGGCCAGCCACTGAGAAAATCTGTGGATTTCAGTTTTTTTTTCGTAATGGCTTAGAATTGCTTTAACAGACGCAATACATTCTGTGTATCTGTTTGTACGGGCTAGTCTCCGAAACTGTTGCACCGATGTAAATGAAATTCTGCATGGTGGTTACTTTATATACCCGTTCAACAGTCTAGATACTTTTCATCTCAGAAAATTAAAGAGTTCCCATGGGATAGTTAAAAAACGATAGTATCTTATACAGCTTAGTACACAACAACTTATGCACCTAATTTAGTAAAATTTAACATTCTGATACCTTATATTGCCGGTTAAACAACAGGTTACTTTTTATCCCGGAAAAATGAACGGTTCCCGTGGGAACTAATAGATCTCTATCAGGGTTATTCTAGAGGCGAACCCGAGCGGAGCGAGGGTGAGCCGCTAGTCTTTTAATAATCCTGCAACTTCTGACATTGACTGTCTAAAAGTCTGTTTGTCTAAAAATAGTGCAGTGCGTGAGTGTGCAATCGTGCAGACTCATGAGAACTCTTGATTCTTTTAATTTTAACCCTCCTAGGTGAAAGATTAGACGAAATATTCTGCAAGGTTCTAACTATAATTATAATTGCATCCACAAAAAACAACGAATTGGTACGGAAAGATATTATATTCTATGAAAACTATGAAAAATTGATATTTTTATACAGTGATAGTACAGGAACACTGGAAACCGTTAATTCCGAACAGCTACTCGAGACTTTCCGATGAGGATGAGGATTTGAAGTATGAAAGGATATAAATATATAATTAAATAAATGTGTTGGGACAATAACACACAGTACCATCTAGTTCCATGGTAAGCTACGAGGCTTAAATTATGGATACCAGATAGTTGATATACTACACATATATAACTTTAAATACGTACATATTATAAATATAAATACCCATAACTGGAGTACAGGCATTCGCGCTCATCACACAAATGAATACCCCTGTGGGACTCGAACCCGCGATCGCTGGCACAGCAAGCACTACAAACTGAACCAAACGTGTCGTCGTAATGCTTGATATATAATTTAGATAATTGCACCACGGGAATAGTTACTTAATACTCCATCAAATATTTCATATACAGGGATATCAAATAGCTCTGGGAACTCAATGTACATAATCCATATAAAATAAAAAAATCACCATCCTGAGTGTCTACCATAATGGATATAGAATGCAGATATTAGCTCATTTTATATTGTCACTCAATCTTAAAATTTTTTACTCAATCCCTTAAGGATTGTTTGGTTGCATTGGTATAGGTTTAATATTCAGTTTTTTTTGTTTCTTTAATATTTTCTAGCATAAGTAGGACCAACAAACGGACACATATCGTCTAATATTTCTATATAGAGATGTACATCAAATTAATTACATTTTATCTCTTGAAATAGCAATTAACCTTTGCCTATATAATTGCTATAATTAAGCGTTGATCGCACATTGGTTTTGAGGACACTTGGTTTTCTAAAAGGCCTTTGTTCGACTTAACATAATTAAACAATATATTGTTAATTATATAAATACTTCAAGTTTCAAATATGAGAATTAATTAGGTAGGTGCTATTATATTATTTATATGTATAGAGTATGGAATAGACAGATTACATTATACGGAATACACAGCGGTAAAAAAAGCGTTTACAGCCATCCAACTATCTCTACACAAAAAATCATGCCAATCCGTCACTCTGTTTCGGCGTCAAAGAAGGACAAATAAACAAACAACAAACAAACAAACGAATGAACGAACAAACAAGTTATAATATTAATTTATAGTATGGACTATCTATGTATAAATAGCCAAAGACAAAACTGTTCTGTACCTTTTTTACTTCTTTTTGTCAACAGATTTTAGTTTTTTAGTTAGTAGCTATTCTCAAGATTAAGTTTTATCACAACAAATTATAAAAACACGAAAAAAAAATTTTTTCTATTCAAAATACAAATATTATGTTTTCCTCAAATTCTCAACAATAGTTATGGTTGGATTTCGACCACTCAGCGAACACTAGTTGAAATAAAACTTCGAGTATTTAAAGTTTGTTGTTTGCAACAGCCAGTCCATCATCATAGTTTTATTATATGTAATGAATAAATATTACCACTGGACTGCCTGTGCAAGTTGGTATGTATTATGTGTGTGCATGTTTGTTAATTTGGTTGGCCTGGAGGAACACACACACTGTTTGGCAACAAGCGACACAGTCGAGCGAAGTGTGGATGTCGCTAGCAATTAAATAAATTGATTAATACGTTAACAATATCAAAAAAAAAACAAATTTATATTATTTTGGCAAAAATCGTATCCCTTAACATTTTTATATAGCTATTAGCTTCCTTTTTATAAAAGCACTAGCGGCACACCCTCGCTTCGCTCGGGTACGTCACTAAGTACGTTTTAAATATAT